CTTTCCCTTAATGCAAGTAAACGGCATCCAATTTTACAGTATTATCACAGAACTGAAAACCATAAATGCAAAACATCTCATTATCTATGTTGAAGTATTGTGTTTTGAACTCTAACATCTGGTTGAGATCTGAGAAAGATACCATGGGGTTGTGTGTATTAGCTTTGAATAGCTTCCACATGCGTTGTTCATTTTTTCCCCACCTGGATGAATTACAGATTTGCAGTTATGGACAGGCAACATATACCTGCATAGTTAGCCTGCTGTATTTGTTTCTTACTTACTTAGAACCATAAAGAATTTCTAAGTTAAGTTAGTCACTGTGCAGCCAGTACAACTCTTGGCCTTGTGAGTTATATCACGCAAGTAGTTTTAGTGGGATTGTTCAGGTATTTTTTTAATTGGAAAGAAGTTTCTATTGTGTCTTCCTTCACACACTTCATTTTAATATTTGACTGAATAAACTCATTTTCCCATAACGTACAAGAAAAAATAATACATAACTGTGTTGTTAGTTTTGACTTTCTAGGGCCTAAGGAGGAAAAAATATTACTTTAATAACTAAAACCAAAAACTATGATATAAAATCCACACAGACATGAAATATTGACCCTACTGAAATCAGTGGTAAATCTATTTTTTCCTTCAGTTAGGTCAGAATTTCACTCAGAAGATCTGCTGTGAATCTAGAAGGTGACCTCTTTGCATAGTCGCTCTTTGTGATTATTTTTTTAATGACAGTTTAGTTGCTGAAAAACATAGCTCTTATAAATTCAGTACTTAAGCTTGGCCTTGTGAAGTTTACTGTTTATAGTGAAATTGTTAAAAGACAAATTTTAGAAGCTTGGGTATGTTGCAGAGAAACCCTACTCAACTACGCTTAGACTTTTGGACTAGCTATTGTAACAAGACAGAGAATGCATTTTTTAGTATGTGACTACTCCAAATAGATTATCTGTAGTTTAAATTTATCACATCTTTTGTTTGCATGACTCAGTGTGCTTGGTTTATTTTTGTAGGTAGAAGCCATCTCTAAAACTAATGGAGCGTTATTAAAAAGACGACGAGAACTGCAGAAGGAAATAGAAATGATCAAGAAAAGTTTAGCTGAACAGGTACCCGGTTCTGCTTTCTCATACTTTTTCACTGTAACAGTTGGTTTTCAATCATGAGAATAGATGGGAGTTTCTAGTTGCAGCTTTCTGGTGAGACAACATAGTGTTTCTTCAGTTTTAAAGATTGCAAGTGGTATTTTAAAGCAACATTTTTTAAAAAACCATATAGCCTGTATATCTGCTTACTTTGCAATAAACCCAAAGTATTAGCAACTTTGAGTTTGCCAGCACTAATGCATGATACATAAGAAATTTAATTTCATTTTCTTTAGGAAATTGTATCAGATATGGATGCCTGCACATTAAAAGAATGTATTGCTGAAGAAGACCGACTTTTCAAAGCACAGGAAGAGTGCAGAAATGAGTTATCTGGACTTGCACATCTGACTTGTCTCAAAGTTGAAGAGAAGGAAAGGACATCTAGGGATTTTCAGAAAGCCCAGGTAAAAAGTTATCTCATATAATTGGAAGACTCTTCTAAAGTAAATGCAGGTATAAGGAGAAATTAGATTAGTAGTGAGGAGAGTAAATAAGTAGTGAGGAGAACCTTATGGACTCTCATCTCCCACTTCACTTTGAAGTTCCATCACAACACATGAAGCTCACAATACCGTGTTAGTTTATTGGCAATTTATGGTGTAGTGCAATAGTATATTAAAATGTAATGCTGTAATTGAAACAGAGTATTTGAAAGGACATTTTCTTTCAAGCCTATGGAATAAAGAGGCAGAAAATCAGATAGCCTCAACTGAGAATCTTGAAAATACAACTATGTTTTCTTTTACAAATATATGGACATTAAAAGATAAACAGAACTGCTACTCCTTCCAAGGAGAGGCCAGCAATTTGTATTTTCCTGACACATTTCCAAATGTACATTTATGTGAAGGAAGGTGGAAAGAAAACTTTTCCTGCAGTCACAGAAACTAGGGCTAGTCATTGGGTTTGCTGTTTACAGTTTGCTGCATTTATAATATAGTATATGTGCTGTGATGCTGCACAGTTTATATTAACTATCAGGTTTGTATATGGAAATGAACTATTTATGCTTCCACAATGTGTTTGTATTCAAATAAATAAGATAAGCTACCCTTCTAGCACATTGGGAATCTCTGACTGTCTATAAAAATAAGAATAAAAAAACATGTCAGGCTTTGCACCTTCAATAAAAATCAGTCCATGAATAGGTCAAAAAATAAACAATAAAAAGTAATGAACACGTCCAGAGTTGCAACCCAACATCCACCTGTTTTCTGATATCAGTCTCCTCCTCCTGATACCAGTGGGAGATGAGAAAAACTGTGTTCTTTAATGTTGTTACAATAAAGCATTTCATTACAGTTAGAATAAGTTATTAGAATAATCTTACCTTGCTGTCTTTTCCTTGTCTAAGAGGAATAGGTCTTCTGAGTCATTTCTTTGAGGACGTTTCTGTGATATATCTAAAGTGCTCACTCTATTTTAATTTCAGATACAACTTCAAACTATTATTAACGAAGTAAAAAGAAAGGATCTTGAATTAAGAGCGTGTAAAAGGAGGAAAATAAAAATCCAAAACAAGTAAGAAAATAATACATTATCTAAAACATGTCTTCTAAAGCAATTTTTATCCAAGTAAGGTATGCATAAAATTCTAATAATTATTTCTTTCACACTTGTCATTTCTTCAGACTCCAAGGATCTTCTAAAATGCATGATGAGATCGAAAATGAAAGGAATAAATGCGTACATATGCTGCATGCTGCTGAGCAGAAAGCAAGTGAAATTAAAAAACGGGTAAAATTGATAGGAAATGAAATAGAAAATTTAAGGAATACTATTTTAACCAAGGAAAGGTGAGTTTTAAGTCAGCCATAGATCACAATTATAGAAATACAAGACTAGAAAGAATCTAGACAATCTAGTCCAACTTCAGCTATGCCTGTATCATCCTTGATAGTTATTATCCTGATTTTTAAAACCTGATTCAAAGACGTACATAAACTGTTAATAATAATCTTACATAATCTGTTCCAATTTCTTATCACCCTAAAAATTCACAATTAGTTTGGTCATCGCTGCATGACACAAAGCATTTCTGAAGGGAATTTTGCTACTCCCTCACTTCCCCATCCTCTGAAGGGATAAATTGTCATTGCATTTCCTTTGTATCACAGTTCTTGAGCCTCTAGCAACTGCAGCTGTCTAATTATTAAATTAGAACAGACTGGGTTTATTTATTCAAACTCAAATCGAAGTTTATTGGATAACATATATTTCAGATAAAACAAAATATCCAGTTTCTAGGCAATCTCAGTCAAAATGCAAGGTTATATTCTCAGCAAGGAAGATGAGGCAGAACTGTTGTTACTTGTGACTCTATTTTTTTCCTAGACCATTATTTAGTGATGTCATGGTTTAGGCCTAGAGATCAACTAAGCCCCATGTGGCCACTCGCTCACTCCTCCCCGCATTGGGATGGGGAGGTGAAACTATAACAAAAGGTGAGGGATCACTCACCAATTACAGTCACAGGCAAAACAGACTCAACTTGGGAAAAAAAATCAATTTAATCTGTTAGCAATCAAATCAGAGTAGGATACTGAGAAATAAAATTAAATCTTAAAAGACATTCCCACCACTTCTCCCTTCTCCCCAGGCTCAACTTTGATCCCAATTTCTCTGCCTCCTCCTCCCTCACCCCATGCAGAGCAGTGCAGGGGAGCAGGGAATGGGGGTTGTAGTCAGTTCATAACACATTTTTTCTGCTGCTCCTTCCTCCTCAGGGGAGCACTCTTCACACTCCTCCTCTGACCCAGTGTGGGGTCTCTCCCATGGTAGACAGTCCTCCACAGCCTTCTCTGACATGAGTCCTTCCCACAGGCTGCAGTTCATGAACTGCTCCAGTGTGGGTCCCTTCCATGAGGTGCAGTCCTTCAGGAGCAGACTGCTCCAGTGTGGGCTTCCCATGGAATCATGGCCTTCTTCGGGCACAGCCACCTACTCTGGCGTGGAGGCCTCCACAGGCTGCAGGCAGGTCAACCTGCCGTCTCACCATGGGCTGCAGGGGAATCTCTGCTCTAGCACACATCCTCCCCTCCTTTCTTCACCAACCTTCTCCCACATCCCACTCCTCTCTCCACTGCAGGTTCCCCAGCAGTTTTTTTGTCTTCCCCTCCTTCTTAAATATGTTACCACAGAGGTGCTCCCACTGTTGCTGATTGGCTCAGCCTTGGCCAGAGGTGGGTCTGACTTGAAGCCAGGGAAGCTTCTAGCAACGTCTCACAGGAGCCACCCCTGTAGCCCCTCTCCTGCTACCAAAACCCTGCTACACAAATCCAATACAAGTGGAAATATCTTTTTGCCATCTTTTTGTCATCCTTGTGCTGATATTCTGCAGTGCAGACAGAATGACAATGGCTCTGAAATTGGTAGTTGAAAGGAAGTAAACAGTTAACTCTGTATGCAAAACAGCACAGCCAAAACAGAGTAGTTTAGAAATAACTTCATATTCCCTAAACATTTTTTTCTGTACCAAAAAAATTGCACAACCGGACAAAGAATGCATTCAGGATACATTCACTCAAAGTGTATTGTGAATCTGCAAGTAGCTTGATTTCAGTCATGCTGGAAGTAGCTAGAAAAGAAGTGGAACCTCAGAGGTTTAAGTGATTTTGTCAAGATGCACAAGCTGATATTTTTTGGTAAAATTTTTGAGGCCTTCCCAGTCAATTACTGATGAAGGGGGAAAAAAAAGGCTAAGGCGACAGATATATATTCTCTATGTATCAGAAATATCTAATTATTATAGGTGATCCTACTGCAGTACAGATCCAACAGGCATTTTGATCTTTGCAAGCTAGCAAGAGATACTGAATTTTCAGTAATTCTCTTGCCTACGGATAAGATATTTAATCCTGGTAATAGGATAGTATCACTGAATTAACTGCAGCCTACACAATTTGAAAGACAAATAACAGTCCAAATAAGACAAAGATTTTTCAGGAAATATTTAATAACACATTGCATTTCTGCGATACTGCCATGCTTTCGGTCTGAAACTTGCTTTACAGATGTTTAATTCAATTCAGTAATACCCTGTGGAACTCAAAAGTGTTACACAAGCAGGGAAAATGAAGCAGAAAAGAAGCTCACTGCTCTGTATAGGGTAATTCAGCAATTTAATGATGGAGCACATGAGGGAAGGCAGGATATTTCATCCACAGATCTGTATTTTAGCAGGAGACTATGATGCTCCTTTCACTATTTCTTTTCTATTTTGATGTGAATATCTTCCCAGTGGAGGTAAGGTAGTGTCTTGATCAAGAAGTGAGTCTCAGCACAATCAAATGCCATAACTCTGAGTTCCATGTCGTTAGTAAATGAATGATCCATGTGGCAACAAGAATCGGTCTTTTAAGTGAGGGGCCATCATCTGGTGGCCAGCACTGTCACCAGAAGGAATGAGTTCTGTTCTTCATTTCTATGGGTCTAGAATGTGATCTTGTCACTAATCTATTGTTGTGATTTTTATTTTCTCATCTGTCAAACAGGGAAACTGATAATTTTCTTTCTCTTGTGAATGTTGTGGTACATTGTTTTATCAGCAATAAACTTGAAGAGCTTTGAATCGCATCCACAAAATTATTTAAATATCACTCTTTAAATAAAAGGGCAGGATTTCTACTCATTAAGACTTTGCATCACAGTTCATGCTTCTGCTCCTGAACTTTATTTCTTATGGCCCCTTGGGCTACTCAGGGCAGAAGAAAAGAGCTGGAGTGCAGTGCTCCATTTATAGCATTTTTCTTGGGCCATTATCCTGTTCTCTTCAAGCTGGAAAGAGCTTGCAGAGAGAAGCTGTTCTTGGAGAGCCTTTCTACTTCTTGTAATGCTTCTGTGAAGCAGAGTGACACAGAAGATCCTTTGTGTATTTGAGAAATTAGTTTAAGCTCTGCTTTTAATTGCTGAAATCGTTTTCAAATTGAAAGGACTAAAAACTTTCCTACTTTTCTGTTGTGTTAAAGCGAATTGAAGAAGCAACATCTGAAGAATAAAAATAATATAGTAATGAGAGACAGTCTCAAAAGGGATTGTTGCGAAACTGAAAAATTCATGGATGAGATGAAAGAAAAGAAAACACAACGGTCTCTGGAGCTGGAGAGACTTACCAATATGGTCAACCACATTGAAGAGGAAACTGTGCAGCTACACAAGAAATATGAAAGGGCTATTCAGCAAAAATATGAGAGGTATAAATGTAAATTTGATGTAATACAGTGTTTGATTTTGCCATTCATGGATCAACAATATTCTTCATATGAGTACTACAAAGAAGAATTACTAAAATACTGCCTCACTACAGTGTTTTGATAAACAGTCTGCCTCACTGCAAAGTCAGGGCTGCTTTGCATTACATAGATGTTTTTTTCTCCATTGATGAAGATGTTTGTTCTTCATTATCAAAAATTATGGTGCCTTGGCTAATTAATGCCTTGAGAGCTTGTAGTCTCCTGCTCTATTTGTGCCTCGTATGCAGATAAGGTATGAAAATGCAGCTGAGGTAAAGCTCCCTGATCATGTTAATCCATTTTTAAATTAATGCTATGTAAGGCCAGAAGAGCGTTAAGAATTATATGAGAGATTAAAGTAACTGTTTTGTGTGTTCTCTGATTTTCACATTGTGGTTATTTTGTTACCTATTTAAAATGTCGAGATATTAAAATACCTTTTTTGAAATATTTTTAAAATTTTATCTTTTCATTTTGGGCTTATTGCAGTGGTCTTCTGCTAAGAAATAGAGAAGAAGAACTATGTATTTTATATGAAAAAATGAACATGCAAGAGATACTGAGTAGAAATGGAGATATTGAGGTGCAAGATATGGATGAACAGATCAAACTTCTGAAGCTGAAGGTAGCTGAGAAAAAGAGGCAGATTACATTGTGGTGCAAAGTGCTCCCAGTGAAGAATGCCCTGGATGCAGATCTGGTGGCACTTCAGATACAGGTTGGTGGGAAAAAAGCGCTTTTTTTCTGTTTGTATTCTTCTGTATTTTAAACCTTAAGGTAATTTCATAGGAAAAAAAAGGTCTAGATGTACAAGGTTCGCTAAAACAGAAAGTACAATAATACACCTGTCTAGCAAAACACTGATGCATGTTTTTGACTTCAGATAAGAGTTTCCATGCTTATGTGATGCCCTTTGTTATGCACGTGCCAAATGCTTCCTGAGTATGGAATCTCAGCTAATGCTGAAATGTCAGTGTGACTAAACTGGAGAATGGGAGTCATGGGGAAAAAATGGGAATGTGGATAAAATTTGTTTGAGCTGTATTGATGGGGGTAGGTGGAAGGGTGGGAGATACACTTAGCTCTTCAAATTTCTAAAATAATAACTCAATTCACACTTGACCCTGAGCCTATTCTGGAAACTCTGCTGCCTACAATGATATAATCCACATATATTCTCTTCAACAAAAAAACAGTGTAAGTTTTAGTTCTAGTTGCAACATGACATTAAACAACTAACAAACTGCAGTGTTTGGGACATTCTTTCCTTGCATTCTCAAATGGCTCATTTACTTCTGACCTTATGTCCAGATGGTAATTTTTTCCATACGTATTCTGTTAGTGCCCGCACTAAATCATAAATTAGGGTGTACCATTGCCTTTCACAATTGCATCGATGGGAGCTGTGACTCACTGTTAAATAGTGCTTGCACTATTTTGTTACTTCTGGACTTTTCAAGAAACCGTGTGCTCTGCTAAAAGAATAAGAAGTTGTACAATACCTTATGCAAGTCATACCCCAAAGAAGTTTACAGTGCCGTTACAGATTTAAATGATGAAGAGAGGGAGTATGAAAAAAAAGATTATGGACTAAAGAAAAAAAAAGTGACATTTTCAGGTAAGATTTAGAATGAGACTGAGTCACTCAGTCTCTTAGAATGAGACAAATGCAGCAGCAAAATGCAAATTATTTTTGTGAACTGAGAGAGTCAATGATGAAACTTTGCTTTTTCTATTCTGTATTCCCAAAACTTTTTCCTTTCTGATGGCAGTTCATGTGAAGCCTGAAGTCACCGTTAAAGGGAGGCTATTGTTACAGGTGCTTCAAATATTTTTGCAATATCAACATAAAATTTAAAAGTAGGAAAATACAGTGTTGTGATATTACATACGGAGTAGTCTTATTAAATGCTCCCAAGTCAGAGATTTTCCAGTGAACAGTGGCAAAAAAACCCCAGTTACCAGCATTTTAAATGTAACTAGATACTATGGTTGCTGAATATTACAGGTTTGAACTGGCTGTTAACCCAGCTGTCTCTTTATGCTTAACTGTTCAACGCATTAATTCCTTTCTTCCTGCTGCCAATAGCCATTGTGTCTAGTGAGAAATCATTTGGCTTTTGTCTGTCTTTCAATTTAGATAATTGTAAAAGTTCGGGGAGAGGATCAGTCCACCACAGAACTATGAAACCCTGAGGCAGTTAGACATCCTATAATGCAGACTGTACATCTCCTTTCCGAGTTCTGCACTTGGTTTTTACTTATCCACTTTGTTTTGACCTTGTATAGGATCCAGCATGCCTAAGTTTGTCATTGTTTGGAACCCACAGAAGAATTATCCAGATACGTGAACAAGGTCTCTTTATTAATGGGAAGAGTTGGACGTCTTTGCCTCCAGAGGCATATCCTGATAACCTCACTTAGGGAGCACAATATTCCTCTTGGAGAATAAATCTCAAGGCAGCTACCTCTCTCCATCGATTGTATAGGAAAACTTGAGTCATTTAAGAAGGAGGCTTCAAAAGACATCTACAGTTGAAACACAGTTTAGACCATCTGAATTAGGCAGGCTGTATCCTCTAGTTGTACTTCTTAAATTTTCTTCTTTCCTTTTCCTACCCTTCCTGTCTCCTTAAGTCTTGGGTACTTTTCAGACTTTTCAGTCATCTTACTCTTATGTGTCTTGTTTTTCTCCACTCCTGCATTTCCCAATCTTCCCAGTACCCCATAACTTTTTTGCAATATCTCACTCCACAGGTGAATTGAACTTTCTAGTATTGAATGCTGCATGATTTTCCAACAACAGATATACATCATTGGCAATACTTTAAATATAGGGAGAGAGAGATCTGAAAGGAAAACAAGATTCAGTCTTACAAAATAGAAAAGATTTCACTATTTGTTGTTTGCATTTGACTAAGATATGCTGACTGTTTGAATCTAAGTCCCATGTATGCCCACCAGATGCTTTAATCAGCACTAAATTAGCTGTTCTGAGATGGGATATCAATTTCTGTTAGAGATGTATCTCTTGCAGTGGATGGATGGATGAGTCATTGTATTCCATAGGCTGCAGATCCCCTGTCTCGATGGCTGTGGTACCCATTGGGAAGGGGAAAAGCAGAGGTCAGGGCTGTGTGCCAATTCAAGAAGAACAAAAATTTCACCTGTGTCTCCTACATTCCACATGAGCTGGTTAATCATCAAACTGATGTATGTACTGATGTATGTTCCACTCATGTACTTTTTATCAGAAGCTGTGTATTTCCACAGAAGAGCAAAACATTGGTGAATAGATTTTAACTAATCAAATACTGTTGTCTTAAGCAATACCAGATCTCTTCTAAGCATGTGCTAGTAACGTGGATGAGGTATTTTTGTTACTGTTGATGTAAAGCATTAAAATTAGGAATATTTACATGTACTTCCTTTATCTGACACAAAAACTACCTGGTGGGATTCTATGGTGGTTTTCACTGGGCATAAAACTATGTAACTTTTAATTGGGACTGCACATCAAGAGAGTGCTCCTGCTGACTGAAATGACCCATGAAAACTAATCTGCCTTCATGCATCAATGAGAAATAGTTAGCATTAATCATTAATTAGTCCAACACGTAGACCTGCTGAGCTGTCAAGATGCTGTAGATGGGATTTATCATGCCTCAGAGTTCAGCTTATGTACAGGGACTGACAGTTTATTTCAGGCATTTGGCATCAACATTTGTCCAGGTTTTAATCAAACCCCTTGAAAATCTCCCTCTACATCATCACAGTCATAGGAAAATGGGGTTAGTAGAGAGGTAAATAGTTTATCCTGGCCATCCTGCTCCAGCTGCAGCATCTGATTGCCTGTCATTCCTGAGAAGGCTAAGCTGTGCTTTCAAATCACCACTTGGAAACCCCAGTTTCCCCAGCAAGATATGCCAGCCCTTCCTTAACAGTGGAAAGATTTTCTTAACCTTTACCCTGAGTCTTGCAGGTTACTTATGTGTCCAGGTAGGATGGTAGCCTTTCTTGTAACATAACATATTGATTCATCTTCAGGTAAGCACATGTAACAACCAGACCCTTCTTTAAAGAAAGGGTATCTCATCTGTTGACCTTGATTCTGTGTTTGTACAGGTAGTTTTTCCTCATAGCTCATTTTCCCACCATTTTAAAAAATAGATATGATATCTGCCCTTTTCTAGTGTTCTGCGTACTTCACCTACCTTCTCTGAAAATTCAAAAATAAGCACCAGATCTCCACTTTTTCAGATCAGTCCCTTTATCCAGACACATGTGCTCTCTTGTGCATTCATCTTTCAGCAGTTCCTCCTGACTGATTCCAATCAAACGTAGAAAAGCTTTCCTTGTAGAGCCTTTTCCTATCTCCTGTATCAAATCCACTCCAAGAAAGAAATTATTTTTTTTTTCATTTTAAGACTTAGAAAATCTCTTAGAACTCAGATAAAGTCTCGTCCGAAAAACATCACAGTTTAAGAGAAAATAAAGAAGCCTATAGTCACAGCACTTAAGCAGACACAGAATAGCATGGTTATCTCTAAATGTGCTTTCCTTTTCATACTTTTGGATTAGCCTGCATCTAAACACTCCGAGTTCATACTGCATTGAAGAGTAACCCTAGTACTGAAGTTTAACATGAAACTTTTAATGGATATTTTTTTTCTGTTTTGTACTGTGGTTTTGCTGCAAATTCTTCTCTAAATTAACTATTCAATCCTGCAAAATTTTACTTGGTTCATGTCCCTAATCTCATTAGGATATTATGGCCTCCAACAAGGCATTTTCACCTGTTTTAGTAGTTGAGAAATCTGGCCCCAGATAGGAAACTTCTCTGGAAAACTACCTGCATCCTGTTGTTTGTGCCAATCCTGCTCTTATGTTCTTCCACTCTGTGTATTTTTGGGCTTGAGTTTTAGTTGTTTATAATGAAAATAAATCTTTCAGTACCCACTTACACACTGAATAGCATAAATTTTAAACCAAATCATGGTTTGCCAAGGAAATAGTTCATTACAGTCATTTAAGGTTTTACTTTGCCTGCTCTTAGACAAAGTATAGAAGGAAGAGCTGTGTGATGCTTTTTTAACAGAAAAAGTAATATTTAAGAGAACGGTTCTGGTAATGTTCCATAATCAAGCAAGGCAATCTGTCCATTTTCCCATTTCCAGTTAAACATGAAATGTTAACTTAGAGTGAACAAACCCCATCCTGCTAGCAACATCTAAACATTTAATTTGTCTTTTTGCTGACTGTTCATAGCTTTAAGCACCAGTAACCCCTTATTTCCTTAATAATATCATCACCTGCAATTCATGGTTAGCATTTATAGCAACTTACTTGGGTCATGTTGTGTTAGAGCTAATGGATCAAGGTCTGTCAATGTGCTGACAGATAGCCAGGTGCACATCGAAGCACAGAAAAACCCCACCACGATCATCCTGCAGGTCCAAACATGAAGAAATTGTCCCAGCCGCTTCTGCAGCGAGTATTTATGTGAAGAATGAGTGTCCCTGTAGCCTGTGCTGGGAAGTGTTATTCCATGAAAAGGTCTCACATTGGAAAGGTCAGGGCACACCTGGCTCTCTGGGTCCCAGGAGTACCACATTGCTCAGTATCACCACTGAATCACTTCAGGACATGTGCCCGGGAACTTTGACACAGAAAACTTGGATGCTTGTAGGGATGAGGCGGATGAGACCTTCAGTGCTACCAGTGGGGAAATGGGACTTAGAGATTTAACTTGCAACTGAACTGTGAGGCACTTGTGTCCTTCCTACATCCCTTAAATGGATCCTGTGAGTCAAACAGAAGCTTGTAGGGAATAAAGAAGGACTCTTCACCCCAAATGTCTGGTGTATTCCTGAGGATAAAAAAAATAGGGTCTGAGGACAAAGCAGCTGGTGGAACTCAATTCTGGCAGACAGCAGGGTTTGCTTCCATCCTGCAACCGTCACAGTGTTGTCTTCTTACAAAAACAATTAAAAATGGCTCATAATCCTTTGTATTAACCCTCTCCCCCCTAGCAAAGGAAACCTTATTTGTTAGGACTGAGTCAGTGGGATCAAGCTCTAGGGGTGAGTTAGGCAGGCACGGGGACGTGCTCCCATTGTGAGTCCCAGAGAATCCCGAGGCACCCACTGCTGCCCCCATGCAGCTGCCTTCACCACTGGGGACATCAGATGGGCCAGGCTTCAGAGACCTGGGGAGGGGGGGAAGGAGGTGGGTACCAGTGGGGGTTCCCACCCTTCCCAGGGCTCCTTTCCTGCCTCAGGATGCAGCCATAGCTGTGGTGGGGCTCAGGGCTCAGCTCACTGCCCAGCCCCAGCACCTGTGCTCCAGCCTCTACCTGCTAACAGCGGCTGTGGAGGGTGGCCCTGAGCTCACCCTGCTATGGCCCAAAAGACATGATTTGGTGCAAACCATCTGTAGCCTTTCATCCAGGCCACTAGCAGAAGCTGAAATATATCAGTCCTTGGGACAGCTTTTTCTGACTTCCCAAACTTGTTCAGAAAGTAAAAATCATCTTCCAGTCCAGGGCTCTTGTCGTGATACCTGGTGGCTCAGGGAAAAAGCCTCTTCTGTGTGGCTGCAGTATTTATACACAGTTTGGGGTTGTTGTGTTGCACATGGAGAAGTCGTGGGAACAAGCCTTCAGGACACTTACTTAAACCATTAAGATGAAGCTGATTTGTGCATTATAGGACCCATGTCTGTGATCCTGCTCTGGCAGGGGGATTGGACTGGATGATCTTTCGAGGTCCTTCCAACTCCTAGTATTCTGTGACACAGTCATCTGTTTTTCAAATTCCCCTTCATTAGCAATAGGAGAAGAGAACGATGTACACCCACCTGTGGGTTCTTAGGGAAATGTTTCCCAGTGTTTGACCAATATCATTTTGTTTAGGTCCACACCAACTGAGCATCCCAAACACCAAGCAAAGGTGGAATCTTGCATCCAAGCCCAGGAGCTGGCAGTGCAGCCACCCTGGCCGCAGTAATGAGGTTCTCCTGGCATAAATCAGGGACACTGAGACCTTCCATTTCTGGTCACGTAGCAATAACAGGGCTTTTGGCTTCTTGTTTGAAAAAAATAACCATTGTGGCTTTTTTGTTTGCTAGTTTTCCCTGTGCAAGGACAAGATTAAACAGATGGAGGAAATGTTTACCGACCCCAGAAATGAGAGCAGAAAGCGAGACGTGGGAGGGAAGGACCCATCTGTACCTGAGCTACTAGAAAAGATTGAGCAGGTAACATTACTTCTCATGGCACAAGCTGTCATGCAATGATTGACCTCTTTCAGAAAAAGCAAAACGGTATATTTTATTTTTAAAATAAACTTTCTGTAAGAGGAATTAAAATAATTATGATGGGCTAATGGGAACTCCAGCCCAGCATCTGCTTTCCAGGACAAGTGGGTGTGGGACATTTTGACTTCTTCCAGCAGAGGCTGGAGAGGTGACAAAAAAACCTGGGCTCTGTGTGGTATACCTGGCGCTGCAGCATCCTCTGCTTGCTGGTCCATTCGCATCATTTGCACTTCAATGCAGCCCCTCCCGCTTCACTATGGGAAAGCACAGAAAAGGCAGCAGAGGGAAATAAATATAAAATAATAAACCGCTAACAAACAAACTTGCCATTCTTCTGCAACTGGGTATCAGCTGTTCCACCACAATGCTGGGCCCGTGAGCTAGAGGCAGTCCCACTACCCTCTTAAAGTCTGCATAGGTGACAGAGGATCTAGCAAACATCCCTCATGGTGTTTGGCTTTACTGCTTTGTTCCCATGCTGAACAGGGACCCACAGAATGGACCTTCATGGGAGAGGCAGCCAGGCCAGGCACGCAGCTGCACGCCTTACTGCAGCACCACCAGGGACTGCCAGGGGAGGCTTCAAATAGAAACATGAGGCCCAATATAAAAGGCAATTTCAGGGCACCTCCTGTGTGGCATATGGGGGGAAAGAGAAGGAACAGAATGAGTAACCACTAAAATCATTAGGAGAAAAGTCATTGGTTTCAAGAAAATGACAGCAAGGCAGCAATAATGCTGGTGTAACTCCCTGCCCATCAAAAGGGCCTAGTCTGATAAGGAAGAACTGCACAACTGGCAGTAACCCACTGAACCAACTTGGGTCTGATAGTTGGCAGAGAGGGTGAGAATTTTGAGAAAACTGATGGTGAAGTGATTGTTTACAGCTGTTCACTGGAATTATTTCAGCAGCTCTCAAAGCAGTCACAGGACCACCTTGTGTTGCACCTTCCCCTGTCATTTACCTACACCCTGTGTTCTCCTCACTGCAGCTGGAGGCAAAGCTGGTGCAGAAGCAGAAGAAGTTGCTGGAGACAGATCTTCTCTACGAGCACATTTCCCGGCTGACGGACAGAATCCGTGCCAGGGCAGAGAACGGGAAGCGGGACACGCTGCTGCTGGCTAGAAGGGTAAGAAGGGCATTGCCCGCTCTGCGTGCTGGCCTGTATGGAATGGAATATCCAGGCAAGAAGATGACTCACTTGCAAATTACAGAAGTGGCTGGAAATGATGCTAGGCAAATCGTATGCTGGTCTTCAGAAATTATAGAGATTTAGTAGCAACAGTAACATAGTCATACCAAAAGCATTATGTGCATGTACTTTGCTTTTGAAAGAAAGTTGCACCATAAATACAACCTTTCACCAAAATACAAAATTAGTTATTTCTCAGGTGGGTGCTTTGAAATTTGGCAGAATCCTCCTTTTGCACAGGTGCTTAACAGCCCTTCCACAACAAACACATCAAAGGCTAAAAAGAAATAGGGAAAAGCCAGCTAAGTTCTGCTCCAACATATAAAAAGATAAACTTGGTATCTGGCTCAAAGTTTCTTTGTTACTTAAGCAGGGAGAACCACAGAGGAAAGAAATATAATTTTCAATACAGTTATTTTTTGCATAATTATAGCTATTTCTATTTAGCTGTCAGTAATTTTGATTGGGGAAGTGCAAAAATCCTCCACCTCCTTAATGAAAATAGAGCAAAGTTGAATGAAAGACAAAAAAAAGCAAAATAATTAATGTAAAAGAAGGCCAGGGCTGTGTTTTTTTTTTCTTTCTTAGGTGTTAGATTGGGCACTCGGAAAGGCTTAAATCACAGCACATCTTTATAGCAGCAAATCTTTAATTTCCACAGACACAGAAATAACATGGTTTTTCTATTATTTGGGTGTGCAAAATTATGGCCACTGGCTAATAAATTACTGTAAAAACAGCAGCATGCCAAAAGTTACATTGGCAAGTGCTCTGACTCTCCTCTATGAAAAGTATTTAAGTTTGGGGTTTTTCTTGTTTAAATCATCTCCAGTCAGACTCAAGGATTCCCATGTCCTTTTCTGTTCGTCCCCCTGCCAAGGATAACTTCACAACCCACAGCCCTGCTATGTCCACATTATCACTCGATTATCTTGTAAGGATCAGACTTACTACACATATTACAAGGTTAATTGTGCACAAGGTCAATTGGAATCTGGGTTTAATACCTGCCTTTAAGGCCAACGGGAGTTTTGCTGTTCCGCTGAAAAGAGCGGGAGATAAACAAAAACTTGCTTTTCCGTATCTTGCATTGGAGTAAACGTAACTGCTTATGCTGCCAGTTTCTGTGGTTCTGAGCATATGCTCCTCATCTTAAGTATGGATCTAAGCATATGCTCCTCATCTTAAGTATGGATCTATTTTTTAAAAGTGAGTCAAAGTGGACTTGTTTTCACATTCTTAATACCTAAGTGTCATGCCCAGTAAGAGTCAAAAGGGAAGCCCTAATTAAAATGTAGCTGTTACTTATTCCAGACAAATGAACTGCAGAAGAAGATAAAGGACAGAACCCAGAAGATGATGGCTCTTGTTGCAGAGCTATCCATGAAGCAAGCACTTGCCAGTAAACTCCAGCAGGAAGTGAGAGAAAAAGAACAATTTTTGATGACTGTTTCATCAAGGATAAATCAAGGCCTTCCGCCTCCCAAAGAAACAGAACACGAATGGTTGAAGATATTACGCAATGAGAGGATGCAAAAAGAAGCAGCTGAAGCCAGAGCTAAAGTAAGTTTTTGCCATACGTTGCAATTAGTTCTTCAGCCTCATCTTTTCACTGCTCTTGCTTGGCTTTCTGAACAGGCTGTGGTAGCTCACTGTGTAGCTGCTCCATGTCAACACGGAGCTCCAGGAGTCAGTGGAGATGATGGTAGAAAGAAACAGCTACTAAAGTGGGACAGTGAGGGTTTGTGGAGTAGTACTTGGGCACAGCGCTTAGAAGGGGTCATTGAATCTTAAGGAGAGAATACACTAAAAGGAAGACTCACCTTCAATTATTAAAGTAATTTGTGTGACCATGTTTTGGGATGATGGCTGAGAGCACTATTGGTGAGTTATTGCTTTCCATTTGATTTCAAGGTGAAGCTGCAAAAGGTGGGGTGTGGGATTCAGGAGAAATAAGTTTAACATCTTCCATATACCAGATGTAGTGAGCATCAGATCAGAAGTAACAAGAAATCAGACTGCTGGGCAAAACACTGAGGGTAGGCAGGGAGGACATCACACAGTGCTTCCAATCTACCCTGCTGGGTACTGTGCTTCTGCAGTTGAGACCAGGAGTGATCCCTGGGTAGAGAGCTCCCAGACAAGAAAAAGTAGCATTAAAAATGAGATGTGCATAGTGAGGGAACTCTTTCTGATGGGAAATTAGCTTTGCTGGATGAATCTTTTAGTTGATCACTGCAAGGGAATCTGAAATGCATACAAAGCTGGGAGAGGAATACACTGTCTATACACTTAAAGAACTTGAAGTCACAAAGGACTGCTGCAGTAAAACTGGTTTAGAAGAAGAAACTTCTGGCATTAACACTTCTCCTCACGCTATGACTCAGTTTCCTTTCAGTGCTGTGCATACAAGCTCACTGCAGTAACTGCGTTCAGGAACAGCTGTTGTCAGCATAAATATAGCTCCATTCTGAAGCATCAGAACTATTATCTTGTTCCTGGGATGTTCTGTGCACACTTATTACAACTTCTATAAGTTCACCTAATCTGTTTTCTTCACAAATAACAAAAGCCTTACAGGCTCAAACTGTATACTATTTTAAAGGACAAGCTCACACCTACATGGTCAGTAACTCATGCTTTCCTTTCAATGAACAATTAATACCCCTCTGGGTTTCCTGGTTTGCTAAGGACTAGAATAACGGTGTTTCCTTTGTTAGACTCAGGAGAGTACTGCAGTTTTAAAACATATAATCACTCAGTGACCAAAATGTGTTCCTTTCCCAGCACACTGCAGAAGAGAAACAAACGCAGCGCCCGGCTACATCCACACGACAGCTGAACAGTGCCCAACCGCCTAGATCCTGGATGATGAACACAGCCTCCAATTGCCACGGCCCTACAGCGGGCTGGCTCCTTTCAAACCAAGTGAAACTGGTGCAAATATGAGACATTTCAGAAAACCCATTGTAAAGCCAATTGAAATCTGAACAGACAGCACTATCATACTACACTTACTCTGTTTCCAGGTGAAGTTTTATTGCATTTGATTATATTTTATAATACATTTCATTAAAAAAGAAAAGGCTAGAAAATCTTCTCTTGTTATTAATACAGTATGAACGACATTCCCACTGCTTATACAAGTACAGCAACATAACTTTCTGCAGTCTGGGATTGGACTTTACACTTGCCAGACAAATTTTAATTATATTGGGAAAAATATTCCTTCCCTCTATGCAGTCACTGAGAAAGCTAAAACTCTTCTGCACTGATGGCAATGACAAGTGAATGACCATGAACTTGCCGAGTCACTCCTGAGAACTGGGTCTTTTTATTTCCTTGGTTAGAAGCAGGAATCATCAGTGCAAACTGTTCAGAGAGAGGATCAGAGGTGGTTATTGAAAGCCTCCAAATCCTGATAAATTGTCAATGAGTTTCACTAGTTCAACAGTCTGAAACTTTCACTGAGGTGTTTTTAAATCCAATGAAGACTGCAGAAACCTACATGTCAGAACTTAAGATTTTCTCTTGCACTGAAAGTCACTATTACTATTTTAAATTAATGTCACAGTTCAGAACCTAAAAACAAAAAACAAACAACATTGGTTCTATTATATACAAATAATAAAAGTTGAAAATGAAGGAAAAACTATCCCTACCATTTCTTTTTGAAGCTGAGGTTTGAACTGTAACACTAGAAGTTTTAAAGGAAGAATTTAGTAAAACTCCTAAAGAACTTTTTTCTTATCCTGTATTGCTCACAATATATTATATATATATCTTAAAAAAAAACAACAAAAAACCCACAAGAAACCCCAAAAAACCCTAAACCAAAAGAAAACAAAACCCTGTCACATGCACTTTAAGAAGATTATATTACAAAGCTGAATATATTAGAATTCAACTCCAAAGGCAGAAGAACTGCAAGGTAACACTTGACTACCACAAGGATGAATACATCATTACAGATGCATTGTATACGGACACTGAGTCATCATTTGTCTTTCTTACCTGCTTTACATAATCACACCAAGAAATCTTTTTATAATGTAAATAAGTAAACAGTTACCAGTTTGTTATTGCTGTACAATACTACTGGACTACCTTTTCCAGGGTTGTCTATCTTGCTAAAATAATTGACATTAATATTAATTTTCACAGCATGTTTTGATACCTGCTGTAGTTCCACTTATTTGACCACTTCAACATGAAACAGTGAAACCACAGATATCACCCACTGGAAACCTGGGTTTGTGTCAGATGAATTTCTCTAGGATTTACCCAGAAGTCAGTGATTTCACAGCCTTAATGCATTGCACCAGGTAATATTTTGAGCAGCTTAATGTCAGTAATAGTGGCTACACAAAACTGCAGATTATTTTGAAAAGAACATGACATTTAAGTTTAAAACAAAAACACAAACAAGTTGGTTGCACACATCTGTGTGAATACTTTTCTACGAGTATTGCTATTAGCCTTCTTCAACAGCACCTTATTTCAGGAATATTTGAGGCCCAAAAGTGTCATAGTGTGTTTGAGTGCTGTTTCCTCTACAAATCTTACATTAACACGATCTTGGTCTTCGTATGGATGCACACCTAGAAAAACATTGTGGGAAGGTTAGTACATACAAAGTCATCAGTGTTCTTGTACACTTAGTCCTGCAGTCTATTAAACATCTTGATCTACAATACTGAAAGCTACAGTAATCGATGGACCTGTGTTTTCATTGACTCAAAACACCTCTGGCTTTCAGGGGAGGCATTTGGCTGCTCACTCATGGCAGAAGCTTTCCTGTCAGTGGGATATAAATGGACACCAGAGCGTCTCTGGAGGCTGATAGGGATTTACATACTGATTCTACACCAGAGATCTAAACGAAGATTTGAGCACAGTGGCTATGTTAGTGCTAGTACATAAAATGGACCTGGGCACATTCTCATATGTTTCTATATAGTTTAACTCTTTTTCCTCCCCAAATGGGATGATATCCATACATGGACAATCCTGTTTTAACCTTCAGTTCCTTATCCTGACTATTTTGTTTGTTAGTATAGGCATAGCCAGTAATGCTTAAAAAGTATAATGCTTCCCTTAATGCACCTTGCTTTTTCAGTGGAATTCAAAATCTTCAGATGCTTGGGTTCCCTGTATGAAGCACGTGTCCTAGCCAATTTGAATTTAATTTCAAAAAAAAGGAACAGTGTTGAAATAGAAAATGCCTGTTACTTCAGAGCACCTCCTAATCTAGTGATTTGGGTACCTCTTTTCTGAGGTGGAAGATCTGATTTTGGTTGCCTCTTAGCCACCATACTGTTTAAGTAAGGAACAAGCCCTTCTCTCCACTTTAACACAGAGTAACAGCTACCACCACACTGTGCATGAACCATGTTTCGTTACACGTGTTCCAGAAAATGCAAGTTTGCTAACTGGATTCAACACACTGGATTTGGATGAAAGGGTCTGCTGTGGAGAACCCTGCTGCCAAACCTACATATTCAGACATCACTGGAGTTTAGAACTCAGTTATGTCAATATAGTCAGGACACAGCTGAGTGTGAACATCAAAGAGTAAGAACTATTAACATTACCTTCATTCTCTATCTCTGCCAGCATGTGAGTCAGATAGTTCAGTGGCAAAAACTCCACATGGACTGAGAGTCTCTCGGGGATAGGCCTGTTACACTGCAAGGGAGAATATTTCAGGCTAGCTCACCAAGTCGCACAGCACCAAGTTTCAGTGTTACCTTTAGTGTGTTATGGTCTACAGAAAGGCCAGGAGTCTCAACGCTGTCAAAGCAAAAGATTTAAAAAGAAAAAATGGCTCTTACCTGCCTGTTCCCCAGCTTCTCGAGCAAAAGTTTCACATATTTCCGTGCAACGAAATTAGCATTTATCGGATGATTCCAAAACTGACGGGCCTTTTGACCAAGGGCCTAGTAAGCGAAAAACAAAAACCAAAACCTGAGAACATAAACACAGGACAGTGGAAATATAGAAGAGGGAAAAGGAGACAAAAAAAAATTGAAAGAACATCCAGGCTGTAACAGATTGCTTTGCTTTCAGACACTGCTGACAGAAGCTAAGATGTTATCATTTTTAGCCACTGACCCTTCCTTTCATAGCCAGCAACTAAGAGATTACAATATGCTCCCAAAACGTGGGAAACAATCAAAACCTTGCTACTCAGAACGTTTCTATAGAATCATAGAATAGTTTGGGTTGGAAGGGACCTTAAGGACCATCCAGTCCAACCCCCCTGCCATGGGCAGGGACACCTCCCACCAGACCAGGTTGCCCAAAGCACCATCCAACCTGACCTTGAACACTTCCAGGGAGGGGGCATCCACAACTTCCCTGGGCAACCTGGGCCAGTGTCCCACCACCCTCACAGTAAAGAATTTCTCAGTCCGTCCCATTACCTCTGTCCCACTTTGCATGTGTACTTAAATATAAATTGAGGCTTTAAGTGACCATTTACCCTGTACTGTGACTTTTGTTTAGGTCCATTCTTCTCCTAAAGAATAACACAGATGCCCCCTTCCTCAGTGCTCTGCTCAGAACAGAGCTTTTCAGGCTCAGGCTAAGGAATCTTACAAAAGCAGGTGGCCAACAAGGAGAGTTACTGAAAACACAACTCATATCCCATTATTTAGGACATCATGCTGGGAACTGGTAACACTGATTCACATTCCCAAAGACAAGAGAGATTCAAACTAAGACATCCCAAAGCTTCCAATCCTAACCAATAAGCAAACAAATATGAACACTGTGAAATTAGCTCCACCTTCTGCTATTTTCCTCTAGATTCCCTGGATCTTTCCCCTCCACCCCACCCCCCCCACTTCAGTTGTACTGCAATACAGACTACTGAAAGAGCTCATTTAGGAAATGCTGGACAGTTTCAATGGTGTTTAAATACTTGCTTCTTATTGCAACTGAAGTCATCTAGTACATGGAACCTGCTCAAAATAGCCCGAGTCACCCCAAAGTGCCCTTTCTGGCAAAGAAACTATTCTCTGCATTTTTTCCCAAAGCTGTAAATAGATACAATTAGGCACTGAGGCTGCTGTGTGTAACCAGCAGTGCATGTCCCCTAAAGCGCTCACAGCTCGGCCCCTCCACCAAAGCGCGGTTGGAATGGTGTCCCCCACCCACCACACTGACAGCTCAGAGGCCCCGTGCTGACCTCAGTTCACCAACCCATGCCCAAAACAAGATACAGAGGACAAAGAACGCCCTGTGGAGTTCTCCTTCCTTACCCCTTTTCAAAACTGCTGCCAAATAAAGAAGTTCTTGTTAGAGGAAAGCCAAAGCAGCACTTCTGGCCATTTGAACTATACATAAGAGCCCATAATGAGCAAACAATAAGCAACTTATGTTGAGAAAAGTCTGTTTTACAGCAAGGGACTCCCCAAGGAGGGGATCCCTGGCTTTCCTCTGCTCACTGAGGTGCTCTGCTTCCTCTGCAGTACTGTGGTGTGCACTAAGAGCAAAAAGGGAAAAAGATAAATCAATCTCCCATTCTGTTGGAACTTTTAATGGAGCATCAGGAATTAGAATCATTGAATGGTCTTGGTTGGAAAAGACCTTTAAGATCATCAAGTCCAACCATCAGTTCCAGCATGTGACTAAACGAGTCACCTTACCAGTGGATGAGGATGGGAGACTTCACAGAGGGGGAGATCTTGTAATTCAATCCCTGCCCCAGAGCGGTCAGATTTTACAGCTTTTACTGTACCAGCTCTTGAACATATCTGATAAAATGAATAAAACCAAGTGCAGAGGCCACAAGTGAGAAAGGTATTTGTGGACGCTAAAAAGCACACATGCACACACAAAATCCTCTCTGAACCCTATAAAATCATTACTGCTTTATGCAGATGAGCACCCAACAGAACAGTGTCAGTCTTGTCTTATTTGATTCCTGCAGGGTACTGACAAATCTATAACTTATCTGGGTACCCTACAGGTCATGAGCAGCAAATGGAGAAACTATGGAGGCTCAGGTTATGCCTGTGCCCTACCTGAATCACAGCTAAATCTTCCATTGGCTTGATCCTATGCATAGGGAAGAATTTCCTATCGATTCCAAAATCCAAATAATCACATCCAAAGTTATTCATTACCTCAGGAAGCCTCATGACAATACTGAGCTTCAGCTTTTCATTCTCCTCAGTATCATCCAGATCTACAAGGAAAATAAACCAAAACAGCACCATCAGTGGTAACCATGTAACTAAAACTTTCAACTTTCACTTGCGACATTCTGAATAAATACCATCTCTATAATGAAATTAAAATTTTAATTAAAAATAAGGGCTATTAGGAGTGTTATTTATATTTATACTGTTTACAAAAAGACTGTTGGTATATTTGTATGTAACTTCATCATTTTATGTAACAATTTATACAGTACTTCAAACATGTTTTGACTACGTAGAATTCCCCATATTTATAATATTTCATTTACCAAGACCAGGTACAGACTAATGCTGCACATTGTGTCCCTTTTCTTGACCACCAGAGAAACAGCAAATCACAAGGGAACATGGCTGCAGCAGTGATGAAACTGTTTGAGGGTTGTATCAGGGTGCTGCTGTATCCCAGGAAACCTTCACTAGCGTTCTCTCTTCCTCCCTCTTGATCTTGCAAAGGCAATGAACACAGCTGTGACAATAACCGTGCCTGCAACTGCCAGTCTGCCTCACTCCCCACTTCATTCCAAAGTCTCAGGACTCTCTTGATGACTATACTACTTCATACAGACCTGATTTTAATGCCCACCTTTAGGTAACCTCATGATATGTTTAGAAGACATTCACAACCTCAGTATTTACTAAAAATATTTGAATGCTGGGTCAGGTAGGCTTTGTTTACTTGTTTTGAATTTTCACCTCCCAGCACTGAGTTTCTAGCCATTTGCTATTCCTAGCCCTAGGATTATCTTGTTCCAAACATAATTAAAGCAAAAGCTGAGGACTGGATAGCAGACTAACTTCTGTACACATAGGTGTACACTTTTATAGAGTAATAGAAAACCCCTAACAAATCCTATGATGATCCTCAGTATTCACTTTTCTTTTTCTAAGACGTTCCAAGTGGAAAAATTATAAACTCTACTTCTCCCCAAACAGATATTTCTGTGTCTGCTACGATAAGGCTCAATCATACAGTCTGAGCCCTAATTTTCTCCTTCCAGCTGGGCAACGCCATCAGCTGCAGACCTCACAGAAAAAGCTCTCTGGAAGAAGAGCAGAGTCTCCTGGGCAGTAAATCCTGTGTCTGATTTTGAAGAGCTGAAAGAACAGCACTCCCCATTGGCTGGCTGATTACAAATGAAACACGTGAAACTCATTGTACCTTTCAGCAATTTCCTGACACAGGTTTCTGTCAAGTGCAAGACTCCATTATCAATATAGTGCAGGAGGGTGTGCACAGGGAGACATCGAATACCAAGCCCCAAATGCAGAGTGTGAAAACCTATGAAAGAGAGACAACATGTGGGACAACAATATGTATCTCTTCATTTATGATTAAAACAGCAAAACCTGGGACTTACCAGGAGGTAAAGGCATGCACATCCCATTTGCAGCTTCCAGAATGTGACTCATGATGTTGAACACTGCAAACTCTCCTGTGCTTCCTCTCTCATCACTGTATTTAACAAAGGAGCAACATATTAGGAACCTGAGATGTCCACTCTCTCCTGTCTATACGGTCAGTTTGCTGCACTACATGTGCGCTAAATCCAAGCATTATGGGTGAATTGCCATGGGATGCTATCTGGTTTGCTTAGATGTCTGTCACTTAACCGCATTAGCTGTTCATCTAAATGTGGACACATGATGTGTATCTGTGGTTGTCCTCTTTCTTCCTCTCCCACTACTGCACATTCACAAGTCCCTCAGCAGTACCTGCTATCAACAGCAACAGATGAAATATTCTGAGTGCTGGTTTAAGTGACCTGGCGTTTATAGGTGTTCAACACCCACTGCCCAGCTTGAGACCACTGAACTCAGCCACCTTGAACCCCAGCTGTAAAACTGCCTAGAGGATTAACATTCATGTTGGCTTAGAGGGCCAGCAGGATCATTAAAAAGGTGCATGACAGCCATATTGATATTCACAGCAGAGTAAGGATCAACTGTTCAAGCATGTAGTATTGGTGAAGACCACAATTATTATGCCCGTATTTTAAAAGGCAGGCTGAAAACTTTAACAAATGACTTGCTCACAAGCAGAAGATGCAGGAATGAAGCTGGTATCTCCTCCAGACTTCTTTCATTATTCGATGTACCAGATTCAGCTAAAACAAAAAAGACAAGTCTGAATGTTTCTAGGAGCCTGTGTACTGCAGGCCCTTGGCCTCCATTCATTTCACACACAGTTTATGTTAATAACTTATCATGAGACTCCTGTTAAGACTTCAGTACTTATCTTTTTTATTTTCTAGAGGCTTAAAAATATAAAATTTATGGAAATTTGAATTGTAACTGAATTTCCCTATTCCAGAAGTTTAAAGTAAGTGCTTCCAGCTCATCAAATCATTGTGCAAAACACGCATCTTAACACATCACGCTTCTTGGGTATCAATTGAGATCTCACACGCTTGCATCAAAATTTCCAAGATCTGTTTGTCATGAAAGCAAAAACTGCATGCCCAAGTGGCTGAGCACTTGGCAAGAAAATATCTCTAGGGCCCAGACAAAACTGGATGATGCTGAAGACAGCAGAACACTCAGTTTGATCAAAAAAGTCTGCAGGAGGAATGACAAATCTAGCCCTATCAAGGAGGAAAGATAAGACAAGCAAACACCTCTCCTCCTCTGCTGAGTTTCCTTTTCATCCATAGTGAAGTAAAACAATCCCTTGGCCCATATTGCTGCTTCTTTGGACTCCCAGGCTGATCTCCAGTACAGACTGCCAGCACGCAAAAGCCACAAGCCCTGCTCGCACGTGGGCCTTCTAAGCTTCTGCTGCTGAAAGAGAGAAACCACGCACGAAAGAGCCGAAATAACTTCCTCTGGCCAGCCCCTCGCTGTTGTCACGTGTAACCACTTCCAGATCTCAGTAACAGAGCTGAGACACTTCCTCCACACCTTTTATCTTGGGCCTCGAAGTGCACTTACCAATCAATCCCAGGACACTCTCAGTAAGCAAGTCTGACCCCTGCTTTGCAGAGAGGTGTCGCCAAGTTACAAGAAAACTTTCGCCAAGAAGTTTCAACCCCTTTTCATCCAAAGGATGGCCAGCATCGAGGAACCCTTTTCTCTACTCTCTTTTCTCCTCAAAGGCTCTGCCCCCTCTAACCTCTAATTAGTCACAGCCTCTGAGCAAGAGAACAGGATACACAGGAGACATTCATATCCAAAGGCCAGGACAGGAATACTGGTCTTCAGTAATCCTCCTGAGCACTTTTCTCTATACTTTGGCCAGAAAGCTTTACAAGGTAGTACCTTTTCCTTCCACCACTCCATCCAGCCCTGCATGGCTATCTGACACAGAATAACCACCTAATACTTTCCATCTTCATAGTTGCTGGATGCAGTGGGAAGCTCCAGTTTCATCTTTCTAGAGTATGGCAAGTTTTCTTCACTCGTTTTTCAGGAAAGGAGTGATTTCCAGTTTTCAGAGAGGGTCACAAGAACTGCACCTCCTGCCAGAAAGACTTTCATCTCTGGCCAGCACACAGGGTACAGGTACAGGAGCTACAGCTGGATCTGATTGGGGGGATTGGACTAGATGATCTTTTGAGGTCCCTTCCAATCCCTAACATTCTGTGATTCTGTGATTCTGTGAAGATCAGTGCCGAGGTGAAGGAAAGCTTCTTGCAAATTCCAGAATCACCTCTTATTATTTGTGCAACAAAATTAGTTTTCATGGCTATGACACTCCAGAATCAATATTCTTTGCTTAACAACACAGCAAACTGTACAGCAATTGCAAAGTATAGAAAGATAACTCCTTAAGTCACAGTCAACCGAGCTACCACAACATACTTGAATCTTAAATACCTGCACGCTTGTGACACAACAGCCTGACCAACAGCGCTGCTCGCTTTGGAGATCAGCCACAATGGACATCGTAGAAAATACAAACAGAAAGAGAAGCCACATCTTGAACTTTTTTTCAGCATAGAACACAGAGGACAATGTGCATGAGAGAAAGGAAACATTATCTGTTTTATAGAGGGAGCACAAGGAGCTTCCTCTCCAAGGCTGGGTCTCTGGGAAAACTAAGTTAAGAGCTAAACCCGAACCTTAATGGCAAAGCCGTTGTTCATTTAGAAACAAAGATGTACAATATAAGTTTTTTTCTGGGCAAGTATCAGAAGCCATTTCCCTAGAGTGCTCTAAACTAGTGAGAGAAAACATAACCAGCAGCTAGACAGTGCACGCAGCACGGCCTCAGCTGATGTTTGCCAAGCACCTTGCTCTCTTGAAACTCCTGCATTTCCAGGGAAAAGCACTGAGTAGACTGCAGTTCCACTGAAGTAATTTGGCACCACAAGTGCTCAGCTCCTTTGGTTGGTTCTACAGAAAAGACATGGAAGTAGTCAAAGAATTTGGGCAATAGAGAAAAGGGAGGAAGACAAGGTCTTGCTATCTTCCAGATTCCCTCCTGCACAGGGAATACAAGGCAGTCATCCTCCTTCTGAGCAAACTCAAATCCAAACAGTGTCTGTCTTCTATTCGTCTGCAGTTGAGACCACATCAGATGCTGGCTACCCACAAACATCAGTCAAAAGGGTGCAGCCACTGCAGCAACTTTCAGAGAAATGTCAACAGTTTATTCTGGTCTGTCTCCTTCTTGTGCAACAGGCTGGCTGTTCGCTCTGCCGCCTCTTCTGCTTGCTGTCAGGGCAGCAAATATCATGCTGCTTCTGCAAGATTTTTTCCCCCCTTTCCTGCCCCACTGAAATGAAAAGAGTGAGGGAAACACATACAGAGTAAAGCTGAGAGAATATAGGCATACAACTACTGCAGGCCAGGTGGGATGTGAATTGGTAACCAGGCATACTCGGGAGTGAACAAGGGAATTCCCACTGACACATCTCATCCACACTTCCCGACGTTACTGCTCTGTATACAAACACACACAGTTCTCTGACAGCAACCAGCCACTACTCTGCTGTTTTATGAGAAACTTAACTATCCCATGTCTTGGCTACTTCGACTTCAGCAGCAATTGATTTATACAGTGGCTACCCACCACAGAGCCCTATTCTCAGCCACTCCTTTGTTCCCGAGTGTAAGAAATACTTTATGAAAGCAAACAGACAAGCAAAGCAAGTCTCTTCCTGTTTCATTAGTTTCAGTAGCTCAGCTACACACTGCTCATGCTACAGAAAACTGTCAAAAGAATCAAGAAAATTCTGAAGAAGTGAAGAACTTCCAAACATTTAGAATATAGAAAGGTTTAAGATGTAAGAGTTTCTGATTAGGATGAGGGGAAACCCAATCCTAACAATGAAAGAATTTCTAAAGATTTCTAAACAGCATCAGCCAGAGGGCAGAAACAATTTTTGCAGACATATTATCTTTGTTTATAGTAGCTTTTCTAAGAATGAGAAGTCTGTAAATTGAGTTGAGAGAATTCTTACTTTCAGTGATGTTAAAAAAAATAAAACAACTTGAGTTTGCCAATAGGGAGGGCTGAGATTTGTTCACTGTAAGATTTAGTCTACAATAACTTAGTCTTGTAGACCAAGGTTGCATAGGTGTTTTCACTTTTTTTATCCTAGTTTATATTAAGAATGAAGAAACGATAACTGGAAAAAAATGAACGGAGAACAAACACTCCACTTGTGCTTTTTTCAGCACTGTTTTCATGTACAAAGCTTTGGTTCCTCTTTTAATCAGCCACTAGTTTTCCTTTCTTTCCTGCAAAGACACAGAAATCAGTGTGCTGATTACCAATGAAACAACTTGTCAAGCTATAGAGTGAGGCCTGAACAGAAGTCAGTAACATCACTGGGAGCTGCAGCAGGTCAGAACACTGTAACACTGATGGCACATCTGATTTGCACAGGGCTTCCAAAATGGTGCAGGTACCAGCAGCCTCAAGAATTGCCTGAGATTTCCATGCCTAGGAAACAGCACTGTGGGCAGCTTCTACCCAACGGTGTGGCAGGGCTAGCACAAAGACGAAGAAAGTGATTTACTGGTTGCCATGTGAGCTTTTTTGTGCTCTGCATTCTGACCTAAAGGACTTGATGTTGAGACAGACAAAACCAGGTACAGTAATTTCTATGCACAATAGTCAGTTTTTACAGCTTTTTTTTTTAAAGTTTCTCTTAAGGGGATGAAAGACAGAAAAGTAAGAATTTGGAAAATAAATTTTCATTGCTCACATGGATTTCTTCAGGCAAACTGTTTCCTATTAAAATCACAAAAAGTCTAAAGTCAGTATGTAGAAGTAGTGATGATTTACTCTCATGTCATACTGGAGTGAAATATTTTTTTTCTTAATTTTTATTTCCTGATGGCACTTTCATTATTCAAGACATGCAGTAATGTATTCTACAGAAAATAAAATGGATCTAAAGACCATTCTTTCCACTTTCAGGATGAGTTCACATTTTCACTTCTGGGAGTAGCCCACATCTGTACAAGCTGTTACAGGAGCTGTTTCTTCTGTATTCTGAATTATCAATACAACTCTTTTTAATATTATTTAAGTATTATTATTTCCTTTATAAAGATACAAAATATTAAGTGGCAAAATATGGTTACACTTCTTAAAAAACATCTCCACCCACCAAATATAAGCTATATATACACACTACATACCAAAGACCCTACCCTCCAATAAACACGTTTGCTTACAATAGTGACTATGAAATCAAACTAACCAGGTTTGCAACATAATCCAAAACTATTTGGTCAATCTTCTTTTTTCCTGCATACTGTAGATGTCTCGTGAGGTGATCTTTCAGCTGAGCAACCATCTGGAGAAAAAAAAAAAGCCAACAATTCAGTGTTCTTGTGGCACCTTCAAAAAGATGCCAAAGCTCCAGCAGGTGCACGGCCCAATCAATAGGCATTAGCATAACAAAACACTTCCCTGTTGCAAAACTCCAGTTCAGAGTGAGATCCCAAGCTACCTTACAATCTTGCCAAATTCAACAGCAGATCTTAATAGTCAGAAGGGGTACTTGGTGCAAATTCAACAAAACAGGTGCTAAGTTGAACTTCCAATGACATTGAAGTGAAAAAGCTTACAGTTCTTGCATCCCTCTGGGTAAAGCCAAGTGAAGAGAGTGAAAGAAGGATTTTATTATGAATGCTGAACCCTGAAAATGTAAGTATTTATTACATACAAATAAACCGGAGGGATTTTACAATAGAGAACCCTAGAACAAGTACAATTTGTGGTAGTAGCCAAGAAACTGAGAACCTGAGTGATTAAAGGTAACTTCAGGTTAAACATTAATTGCAGAGTCTTTAAAATCAGATGTTTGTTATCGTACAGCCCATGCCACTCCCTACTCCCTGCTTTCTGAAATATTCTCTGACCTCATGGAGCTTCTGATTGCAACTCCAGTCCATGCTGGTTCTTTGCTGAGAAATACTATGAGGCATTACTTGTTTCAAAGCTCAGAGAAGAACTGAGGAAAATAAAATCTCTGCCTCAAGCAGTTTACAAGTAGATTAAACTCAATGCGTCAGGACACTAATATAGGAATTAGGAAGCCATAAACAAAGGACGTCTGTGACCTGCTTTTTCGGATCTGCCTGAATAAACTGAAGGGAAGCCGCAGAGAAACCTCAGAGTATGAGAGGCAGAACTTGGAAACAGAGGCCAAGACTGCAAAGAATGAAAGTTTGCCTTAGATTTGGACAGACAGGACACTATTGATACGTTCTTCACAGATGCAGTGTGGAGACCTTCCAGTGCATGCTGAAGAGTTTTATTTGGCTTTAGTAGTAAGAGAACCAAAGATATGTGAAGATGTGTATTTGACAGAGTGAGCACAGGTAGGGATCTGAGACAGGATTTATTACCTACAAGCACAAGGATGGTAGATCATTTGGGGAGATCATCAGTGAAAACAGTGCAAAAGAGGAAGGGACCTCAGAAGAGAGACAGAAGGAAAAGGAAACAGTAAAAAGGTGTTCAAATGAGGAGCAATAAGATCTGTGATATTCTCTTTTAGAGAAGCAGTGGGTGGGGAATTCATCTATATGTGCTTTAAGGATGTAAAGTAGCCCCAGATTAAATGACAGGTTAAGATGAACTCCACGAGGATGGAGTAACAGTTTCTAACCAAATAAAAGCTGCATTGGGAAAAAACATTGCTGTTTTTCCCCTATGCCTTAAAATATCATGATCTGTTAAAATGATACCATGATACCATGACTATAAACTTAGAAAAAAACATGTTTGTCCCATAGCTACTCTGCATAGCTACTCTGTCTCATAGCTTCCTCTCAGCATTGGAACTTGTAAGCTTACTCTTTAATATTTGTTGAGGCTGTGCGTCCTCTAGTGCGCACTATAAGAAAAGCACATACCAGTCCCATTAGTAATTGCTGCTGGTAATCGTCCTCTTGAAAGAGAGGTACAAGCCTTTCCTCTGAAACAAACAGAGCAAGAGTCAGTCAAGGATGTGATGCTACAGAAATATCAAGTCTTCAACCAGCTTCAGAAGTGCTTAAAAAAAAACCACACAAACAAACAGGAGCTGTGGTTTGATCTACTCGCCTACAGAACTAAGTGACAGAATGAAGGACTGCGTAAGACAGAACTGAGGACTGGAAAACAACCCTTTATCTGCCACCTTCTCAAGTGCCTAACACTGAGCACAGAGGAACACAAATGTGTCACACCATTTGGTACTTCATTTGCATTACTATTTTCTCTGATATTTAAGCGTTATCACAGTGGGGTGATTCAGGAGAGCAAAGAGGCAGAGAACCTTCTGGTAACACCAATGCAAATGCATATGCTGTTTACATCTTGTCATTTACCAACAAACAAGCTAAAACAGTTGCATGGGTTTTCCAAGGAACTGGCTAGACAGAAAGTAAATATTCCACAGAATCACCCCCTACTTTCCTGGTTCTCTTCCCTGGTCTGGCTGCTTCTGTTTCTCAGATTTGCAGACCTCTATGTAAAAGAACAGAACTTTTCTAAGTGGAAGGAGGTTACAGTATCTACTGAAACTTAATACCCTGCATTTCCTAATCAGTGCTTCCTGTCTACTAACAGCAAAAGAAGAAAAACAATCTCCTGTTTCATCATGTAGCATAAAATCAAGTCAACATTTTCCAGATCCAAGTACTAAATTTTGACAAAGTTCAAAAAGCTGACTTTGAACAAAGTTGACTTTGCTCACCTTGAAATATATTTACACTTACTGGCACAAAGCCCCATGTTGCTTGATTTTAAAGAACCTGAAGAAAAATCTAAAGGGAAGATACAGTACATTGATCCTTGCTACCAGCTGGCAGCTCTCTAGAAATTCTCTAGTAACAGTTAAACATCTGACATCTTTATCAATCAGCACCTGTGGAAAACATGAATCTGAGGCTGGCAAAGTTGATACAAGTCAGAGCCCACAGCAATAATCAGCAGTGGTGCAGATGACTGGTGTTAGGGTCTGGTAATGAATTCACTGAAAATTCTTTGTAACAGAAGCAGTGAGCAGCACTTAGACCAGCACAATTTCACAGTATGCAGTGGCAGGGCACATAGGAGGCACTGAACAGTGGGAACATAATTTATTACTAATTAAGTTTTACTTATTTGTGACAGAGGAAATGAGCATCACAAAATCTCAAGTGTTCCTGACCTAAGGGAATTCCTTATATCTGCTTTCTCTACACCATGATTTTTCACCAGTCATCATCTCCTACCATACACAAGTTCTACAGTTGCAAAGGCAGCACTAAGTGGACAAGACCCAACGGTAACATGGAGTCACTGATACTCTGCTCCAGAAGAAAAATCTGAAAGCAGAAATCCTTAGGCAGACAGAGGTTCACTGCTTATGTTGTTAGATCCAATATGAAGCGGGAACATTATTTTCAAAGTCACTACATGACCCTACCACTACTATCAGAGAGAAAGTGTTCCTCCAATTTAACGACGGCTCATCTTATGCCTCAAACTCTTCAGTGCTGAAAACACATACAGCAATTTATTTTTAGTCAACAACAGCTACATGGAAATATTCTAATAAACCTTACGGCTAAGGTCTACATCAAGACAAGTTTTACTTACCGGAGTCCCAAGTGTCCAGATGAGAAAGCACCCTGGGATTTGAAACAAAAATCAGCTTATTTCATATGCATTATTCTAAAGGATTTAATAGGGACATTAAAAAAGCTTAAATGATCCTTTGATCTTTCAAAGACAGCTAAAGAAATCTAAGAACTATAGATGTGACTACATTTAGTAAAGATATTAAATAGCATTAAAAAAAAAATCTGCCTGGGTTGCATAATAATAGCTCTTCAAATCTACCATAAAATCCCTAGCTCTGAAGGCATGGATATTTCAGATCAAGTTGTACTGATAACAAGGATTCCAATAACTGATTTCTAGCTGGATAATCTTCTTTAAAGTAAGAGATCTAATCAGATACTTAATCAGCTATCTTAATTGCACATTAAATCCTTCAACATACTTCAACAAAATAAGAAAGGGTAAATATAACAGAAAACAGTACCTACTTTTTGGCATTTTCAAAAATATTCCTCATATATGTTGCAGTTCTTCTCTCCTCTCTCTGATTTGTAAAGAAATAAAAATCCCAAAATTAACAAAGTAGAAGGCAAATTAAAACAATTGCTGATCATTACTCACCTGTGATTTAAGCTGGTTTTCCCTTTGAATGGAAATAATGTACAGTGGGGCTTCAACACCTTTCAACTACCCATGCTCACAGGCACTCACGCACACTTAACCTACATGGCAACACAGGTATGTGCAAACTCGACTTTTGTTTAGTTTCTTGCACTGTTTTAACAGCATAGGACTTACAGGCAACCATCTTATAAGTGAAATGACTACAAGTCTTTGCATGTCTCATAATCAGATTCCCGTTTCTTTATCCCCCAAATAAAAAAGAAGCTAACTCTTTAATATTTGGCTTTAAAACATCCACTTCAGAGGCAGCTCTGGAGACTGCTTCAGTGCATGCTATTTACCTCTTCTGAAAGGTTACGCCATTCCCTCCTGAGCACATTGTTGTGGTAATGTAAGCGCGGCTCTGCATACTTCACACTCTCCAGGTTTGAGTTGAGTTTCTCCCAGAAGCCTTTGGTGTTTTGGAACTGCAAAGCAATGCAGGGAAAGCGTGAACACAGGTTGCACTTCTAGAGAAATAGGAGAAATCACCCTCCCACCAAGCGACTGGTAAGAATTGTGATTAATGTAGCTTCATAACAACCTAAGTGAAAAAAAAAATTAAAAAGTGCTATTTTTTTAAACAATTATTATTTTAAAACTATTTAATAGTTTTTCTAAAGTTATTTTTTTAAAAACACTTTTTCCCAGTACTTTTAGTTCCTTGATTTGACAGCAGGGGCAGCACTCACTTAAATTTGAGGCAAAGATTTGGTGCCCGTAATGCAGATAATTTGCCACCTTAGGATCTTTTCAAGTCATTGGGAAGAAATAAGGACTTCTAGGTCATAATTCATCTGACCTATTTCAGTTGTTCAGGATGGGAAGAACTGCACCACAGACTACACTGGGCAAATTGTCCAGACTTCCACTGACTGTAAAAGGAGCCTTGGGCAACTGACTTAGATGTAAATGTTTACATTTGGTCAAACAAATCCCATCCCCAGTTGCAAGAAGTTCCAAATAGAGGAGCACCACCACGACCTCAGCAGCTGCAGACTGCCACTGTTTCCAAACTGCATTAATACTTACATTGCAAACATCCATTTGCCAACCTCAAATAATAACAGTGCCTTACACCAGAAAAGAAACAAAATCCAAACATTTCCATAGCAATTCTAAAGCCTTTGAATCTAATGCTAAAATTCATTTAAACTCAGCTGTGAACAGACAGGAGGTAAAAAACCCAAACACACACGCACACACTGGTTTCCTGAGCTAGTGTTCCTGGACTGGCTATAAAGATTAGAAACCACTGTTTATAAAGGGGGAGTGATGTGATCATTGCTGAGGAAGAGATGAGATTAAGGCATTTCTTTTTGGCAATTTTTAAAAACAAGAGATGGTACTAGCTGTTCTGACCCCCTTTATGTACATTTACCTTCCCATACAGACACTACAGTAGAGACATTTGAAGGGAGAGACGTTTGAACTCACAATATTCCTCCATCTTGCATAAACATGTTGGATTTTGCTCTCTCCCCCCTACTTTTCAACAATGACATTAACTTCAGAAGAAAACATCAGAAGCCTTTAAAACCACTTCCTACTATTTACCAAGGAAAATGAATTGGAGACTCAATCCTGCCAGCCACTTCCCTCTTGCTGCCAGTGCTGCTGCTGTCGCTTTATTGTTGTAGCTGCAGCAGAGAAAAATAAATCTCCTTTTTGCTTCATGTTAGTTATATTTAGCAGCTGGAAACTAGAAGTGCATATAGCACCATATGTTCACCCTGCTGGAGCCGACTAACAAGATCTACAACCTCCTACTGCAGTACATTGCCTAAATGTTACCAACATGAAATCAGCACAATACCAGGAATATGGCATAAGGGTATCACCTAGTGACCAATTTATGCAACTGCGACAGCATCACCACCAAAATTGAATTTATGCCACGTCGGATTTTGTTTGATGTGTGGCAGGGGGGTGCAAGACCAAGTTTCTTTCATATCCTGAGTCTGTAACAGGAAGTGGTAGACTTCAGAATTAAAAGCAGACACCACTAAAAAGCTGCACTGTATTAGATCTTTTCAATAAGTCAAAACTTTAAAACAAAGGAGTATTTTCACTAAATCTGTTATTTCTCGAGCATCATCAGGGCGAGGACTAGAAAGAGAAGGATTCTTCATCTTAGGTAGCATTTATTTTGCAGACATCTCTAGGAGTCAGGAGTTAATGGCTAAGCATGAACAATTAAAAGACATTGTATTATCAGAAGTCAAAGCAAGGCCTCACCAGTTTGCTATCTACAAGAAGCTCCCACAAAGGTTTTTGTAAGTAACATTGTTTTAACTGAAGACAGAGAGCTCTCTGCTGTATCTCTCTAAAAGGATGCAAGGTGACAGTGACCTTTTCAAGAGGCTCGTGTCCTCCCCAGGGGAACTGCAGTGTTATTTCTCCCCAGCAGTGAAGGCATTCAGAGAGCCGTGTAACCGACTCCATGTCTGCACAGGCAGCTACTCCTTAGACATCACTGTTCACCCCAGTGGCTCAGCACAGCATTAGGGAGAGGCTGCCTGTTCCTCTGATGACTGCGTGCACTACACATCTTCACTCTTCTCTTCAACCTCCTCCTGTTTTCTTAACCTTCTTCCTCCTGACCCTTCCTTCTCCCCTCTTCATCAAGCCTATTTGCACGCCTTCAAGTTTAGTTTCCGTGCTTAGAAAGGAAAAAAAAAATAAAAAAAATCAGACTAATTGCAGTCTTTATGTAGTTTTTGACAACTGGAGTCTGACTGATCCTTCTTTCTCACAGACTCTCTCAATACCTCTTGCTGAACAGAAACTTAGTGATAAAAGTACACCTGTTACCCAAATAGCACATTTTTCTTGTAAATATGGACACAGCCCTCCCAAAGGCTCTCAATGATTCATGGCCTCCAGAACTCCAAAAATCTTCTTAAAGCAACAATTTATCATTGTTACTGTGAAATGCCACAAAATCTTTGCAGAAGCGATACCACTTTATGACGAGATTGATCACCAGGGACTGATTTGTGATGCCAACACCACGCACCAACTGACCCATTGAATTTGAGCTATGGTGGATTTGTGTCACTGGAGTGGTACAAAGCAGCCAAACCTTACCCTGTACATTACCATCTTTGTCCTTACTCCAGAGTTGGAGCAATTTGCAGTCAAAAGTTGCAGGAAATATTTGTCTTTAGCTCAACTCTGACCTTTTCAATCTGTTTAGGTTTCAGATAGAAATAGGAAATGAGTTCCACAATCAGGAAGTATAACTGCTAAAGGCATTTGCCCCCAGGGGCTTGAGGTTCAATCTCAGACAAATTAAAGGCCTGCTAACTTTGACCTCAGTGAATTACAGGGATTATCTAGCAACAAATTTTCTCAAGATCTGATTTTCCCAGGTGTCTCAGCTCTCAGGGCAGCCTTCCCAAGCAAAGCGTGCAAAGCCCAGTTCCCGGGCTGCGGTCATGTGAAGCTGTAGCAGCACAGTTGTGATGCACTGTTGCTGACCAAGCGAACAGTGGGTAATTTCACTGATTTTACAAGATTTTGTGAATGCTGAAGCTTTATAAGCCAATTACAAGCACTAGAGAGGAAACACTCTCACCTCTTTAGAGCACTACATGAAACAATATTGTCATGTATTCAGAGTCTAATCCCTTGCATTGCTGGTACTGTTGGGTTCAAGCTCTGACTCTTCACATTAGCCCTCCACAACAGGCTGCTTGTTAAAAGCCTCTTTCAGATTTTTTAGGGGAACAGCTAGGAAAATTTCAAGTATTTCTCTAAACTGGAGCTGAGGGAGTAGAATGGAAGACGGGAAGAACGATTCCTGTTTTCAATGGAAAGTACAATTTCCTACCCAAATAGCATGGCCTCTCCCCATGCAGCTCAGTGCCTTTTCCAGGCTGTGCAGGAATTTGCCTAGATTTAGGTAGCCAAAGCCCTGACACCAGTGCAATCACAGGACGCTACGGACAAAACAAAGCGAGAGGGTCATGAACCACTGGTACCAATGACAGCGCAATGAAATATCCCTCAAAGTGCGAATACGTACAGATACGTAGAAATCCTACACATCTGTCGTGCTCAGTTTAACCCCAGCTAACAAAGTCACAAAATGAAGAAGTATCAATCAAATCTAACAAGAATTAATTTTTGGAGGACCTTCCCTGCTGAATGGAAGAAGTCCCCTCAGGAAAGGACAAAAAATACATTTTTAATTAGCAAACATCCATCTAAATAACTGATATTTTAGTTAATGCATAAGACATTTCAAACAGGGCAATTTTCTGTTCACCTCTATTTTTGGGTAGACACTGCTTCATTAGTATTTAGCAAACCACCATTTCACCCCTCCCTCAAAAAAAAACCAAACAAGCTCTTAACCTGCAAATATGAATGTATTTTTATGTGGGAACTTACCTCTAACACAGGCAGAGAAATAATGTCTGTTGCACATGTTACTCGAGGGATAATCTATAAATACAGACAAATTATAAGAATATAAATAATTTAGCATAAAACATGGGCCTGCTTGGTTATCTAAGTGAATCTGCATTACTTGTTTCCTTTGTGAAACTAGCTAGCTAGCCAAAACTGCACATTCAGTTTTGCCAAAAAGGTGTTTCTCTCATTCATCTCATTTTAAAAAAAAGACAACATATTAGAACAGTGTCAGATCAGATGAATTAAAATAAGCTATTTGCTCTAATTGGAAGGTCCTGCCTAAAACTTACCCGTAATTCTTGACTCTACTGATAGTTTTTCTTGGAAAAAACTGCATGATTTTGCAGTTAAATACATTTTGTATTCGCTATAGACTTCATATGATAAGTAGTAAATTAATACCTCATTATGAAAACTGAGAGGTTTAGTAACAAGCTGTTCTTGTTTTATAAATGCTTTTATTTTTTGACAAAAAATAGGACTCGTGGAAAACACCACTAAGATTAAGACTTGACAAAAAAAAATGAGCAAAAAGCATAGAGATGGATTTAGAGAATGGCTATGAAAAGGTAAGCGTACAAGTTAAAAGTTGTATTAACAGAGAAAAACTTGACTCCCTCTAGCTATTAACTAAAAGTACCAACTGTTATCTTACCCCAGTCCAGTCAAGCAGTGACGTGTAGGGCAAAAGTTTATCCAGGTTGTGAGCTTCTGGACACATTCTGCAGTACAGGGAGGCTAAATGAAATGTAAAAAGACTTATAAGGCAAATTTGTATAAACTATCAGGTAACAACAGTAGGTTTCACAGACAGTTCCTTATCTAATGATTTTTTAGGGACAAATCCTGCTGCTGTCTCTGAAACAGCTTCCTCCATGGTGGAACTGATCCCATTCTGTGCACAAAAGGAGGAAGAGAAGTCCAGATGGCTGCAGGGCTGGGTCAGCTGCTTGGCTACAGCTCAGCACTGCAGGGGTCCTTTATACAAAGGCTCAGGGCACAGGACATGCAGTGCCTAGGCTGAGGATTCAGCTATTAACAGAGAATATCATGACATGCCAAATCCTTATGAAAAAAATGGTTTGGGCTGGGCTAGAGGAGATTTGTTCCTCCACTCCAATCTCAATTATTTACATCCTAGATATCCAAGACAGGAGCCAGATGGACAATTTGCTCTCCAGTGACCTAAAATAACAATAATTCTATTTGTCCCTCTAGACAGAAGAATGTGTTTAAAAATTTCTACTGCAAATCTGGTTTTGAGAGATTTATGTATCTTCTAAACTACTGATATTGTCTCTACCACCACAAAATGCAGGTCAGTTAACACAAATCGTAACCAAAAACGCTGGAAAGAAGAGAGTCAGTTTGTGACATTGTGGCTTCTTCTTAAATCACAACTAGAGTACGCAGGAATATTCAGTATGCAGGAAAAGAAATACCTACCAATAATAAATTCTTGAATGGGGTCAAAAGAGTGACATGTTGACAGGTTCTCAGAAATCCACCAAATAATCTGTCAGAATGAGAACAGAGGAGTTCACCACATCTCTGTTTAAGAATGTGTTTCAAGAGACTGTAGAAACTTTGTTTTCAGAGTAACACCTTGCATGAAGTAGTGATATAGAGAGAGAAGTTTTCAGGACAGCCTTGACAAATAAAGCAGTATGGGCAGCTCAACTGATGAGTCTCTTGGCACTGCCAAAAGGTACATGCAAATGAGGACTTTCCTCCTTTGGCCAATATCATTCATGCCCTGACCCTGCTTTGTACAAGACATCAGTTACTGAAAAAACGTAGAGGAGGTTTTTTTTTTCCCACCTGCATTTTCAAGTCTTCTGTGTGTTGGAAGTACAACAGAGCACAATGCAGAGCTGCCAATCTCTCGCTGTCTCGTTTGCTGTTCTGCAGGAACTGTAGTAAGGTGCTGTCACTGATGCTTATGGCATACATACTTCCTACATGGCAATCCAAGACTGTTGATGTGAGTGGGGATCGGATGGAGCAGTTTTGCAACATGTCAATTCTTGCACCCACACCTGAAGAACATTGGTTTGAGAATAAAAAGGTTTAAGAACACAAAATTTGGCTGCTACCAGTATTTCTCTTAAGACTGCCAGGTCCCCAGCAGTAAGCAACAGTCTGCCCTGCTATTATGCTGAAGAGAAGGAGGAGGAATGGTGCTGGCTGGGTAAAGGAAGTAAATGAGGAGCACAGACCATACTCAGCTCTCTCCCTCCTGCTGAAGCAGAGAAAGTGTACAGGTTTGAGGCCATCATAGGACAAATCAGGGTACATAGGATGGAACACAGAAGGGCATAAGGCTAGAAGTGGAGATACAACAGCAGGATTTCAGACTATTTGCATGAGAGAAATGAGGCCCACCACACAAGCAATGCTTTCCACTCACTTCTAGCAGAAAAGTGTTTCATTCTGTATATACAACAGGTATTGGCTTCCTGTGATGCTGCCCATGCACAGGTTCCCACTACTTACCTCCCCTCCACCCAATCAGAAGAATGGATTTGTTTTCAAACAAAGGCCCCCCACTTCCAAAAATAACCCACTTCCCATAAAGACATGTTTGTTGGAAATGAAATAACGTGTCTCTCAGATGAGAGACTAAATCAAATTGCATCAGCCTGATCAGGTGAAGGAAACACAGATTTCCTCTCCCCACACCCTCCAAACACACACATTTAGAGCAACTCAATTGGAGGAAGGAAATGTAAAATCAAATTTACATCTCCATGAAAAATTTGAGAACAGTGGAGGACAGAGAAGCAAGTGCAAAAATGGGGGAAGGGAAACTATTAAACCAAGGCAAAGAATTTCAAATTCACTGAAAGGTCCTCTTCCATTTCCTAACAAGCTAGAAGTACGTAATAGATGAAGTATGAAATGTCACTTCAGATTCCCTCTTTAAAATGGAAAGTGGCAAAAATACCTTTTTTATTTTTTTTATCACTCTCCTTCTTCAGAACACTGTGCAATAAAGCAAATACCGAAAAATACAACTTTCATGTAAAAAGATTTGAACAAGTTTCCACTACAATAAAAAAAATACTTTGAGCAGGAGTCTTACTATACCTGTCAGAAATAAACTATGACACAGCAGGTCAGGATGCTGAATATTCAGAAGATGCAGGAACTGGCCAGGCAAATAAGCAGCCACATAATAGTCTATTTAAAGAAATAATAGTGGTCAATTTAGCACTTGTTCACTTATTTGCTTTAAGAGGCTGTTTCACATGATTCTCATCTTGGCCTACTTCTCTCTGATGGAATTGATTATATCTAGGAAATATAAAAGGAGTTAATTAAAAGTTGCTGTTAACACAGGAAATGATAGCAATACATTAGGGCTTCCAGGGAAGGATTCAAGAGGCTTGAGACACTCAAGAACCCAACAGATGATCTCCAGAGCATATTCCAAGGCAATTTCAGAGGAAGTTGGTTACTAATAGTGAGGTATTGCACTATCAAATGCCAAATATAGAAGGGGGAAAAAAAAAGAGGCAGCAAAATAACACCACTACTTAAAGTCAAGAAAAAAAATCCCTTCCTTCTAGAGAAAGATTAGCCATTTGTCTCCCGACCGGGGACAGAGAACGGCAGTGACACAGGGAAGTAACACAAGCAACCTACCAAGATTCATAAAAGCCACTTCCTTCAACTGATGAGATTCTGTTCTTTCTAGAGAAACTGTAAAAGTTTTGTGGTAACCTAGGGAAAAATAATACTACTTTTAAAAGACCCAAACAGTAAACACCATCTGTTACAAGTCAAGTATAACTTTACAGCCAGAAACTTCAGCAGTGCCAATACACCCCAAACAGGGATATTTTAGACTGTTTTATGGGCTTGTCTGCACAGACAAATGTACTTCATCCAGCAGAGTTGCTGCGCACTTAGTAAGTCTTAAAGAGCTAAAGCACCACTCACATAGCAACTGTTATTACAGTCAGTGAGCGCTGCAGCTCTTGCTGTGAAGATGACATGTTGAACTGGAACTCTAAACAGACATTCAAGCTAAGAGCTGCTGGCTCTATTTCTCATATAAATGCCTTATGGCATAAATACAACACACCTGCAAGCTCCCACAGATTTCACTGGTGTTTGTGCTCAGCACACCGGAAAGTCTGGCTAGAAATAAGGGACCAAATTAATAGCCACTCATGAGGCCACTGGTTTGAAGCTACTTGTTCAGCATCAGGCAGGAAGTCTACAGCAGGAAAGTCAACTTTGCGGCTGTATTTGAACACTAGCCACAGCAGTTTATTGTCTGCTGACTTTGGTAGTTATTTGGTTTGCAAGGCATTCTGTGATTCTTTCAGCAAAGTGACATTTTCCAAAATAAAGCATAACTTAACAGGTTAATCTTACCTTTATGTAAAAAATATATGGAGTATGTTATTTCATCAGGAATATCAGACGCTAGATTACAGCACATGCACAAGCCTCCTAAAATGACAAAAAAAAGAAATGAAAATCTATTTGTCCACCTGAGTACCTAGACATCTTTACACTCCACAAAACTAAAGCAAGACTGTTTCAAATCAGAAATTAAAAATAATATCCAAAAAAAGTAAAAATTACAGAAATATGTACCACATATCTCTAACCATCATTTACACAGCAAAATGAGAGAAGAGAGGAGGCAATATCGCACAATGGAAACCTGGGTCCTGACGTGGCCAGTGCACCTCTTTAGGAGATGCAATTTTTAGCCCTTCTCAGTAGAAATCACGCTTGCAGCCAGAATACTGATCAAGCCTCTCTCCACAGACTGCCTCAATTTCTAAATATCTTTCGTTCAGGGACTGCCAAATATGCACAGAACACAGTAAAATAGTTAGTTTGCTTTCTAAGTAATTTCATATTGGCAAACAGCGTGATATGCTACTAGAGCTTTCTCACACTAGAAATTATAATCAGCCCAAAGAGCTGGTAATTCCTTTTTTTAGTAGAAAAGTCAGTACTTGGCACAAGCTTATTTCAGCCAAGGTACTCTATGCAGGAATGTGCCTCCCTCTCAGCCTAATTCTAAACCAGACTGATAGACTGGATGGTCCAGAGTCCATTGGATGGTAGTCCTCCCACTAACTCTTATGAAAACTTTAATCCACTTACTCTGATGCTTTGGCAAGCTGCTTTGGCATTCATTTTAGAAATAGTTTCCAAACCACATTATCCCAATACAGTTGGGAAAACTGGGCCACAACTATGACCATTCACCTTCTACCTTTATTGAAAGTTTATAACTTAAAAGAAAAAAGTGGTAATACTAGTACAGATACTCTTCGGGGGAAACTAAAAAAGGGTTAAATATACAAGGCATACAGAAAAAGGCACAAAATAAAGGTTTATGTATACAAGGTATACAGAAAATAACACAGTACAGAAAAAGCACAAGTATGAAAAAAAGCCCAGCTACTAAGGTATTTTACTTGGTTAAATGCCTCATACTTCAGACCACAAGGCTGTACCATAGCTGTGATACAGATATGGCTGAAGCACTTCACACGTCAGGGGATGGTAAATACTTTCTTTTGAGATGCATTTTTTTAGTATTCGTTCTTAGCCGATTGAATATTGTTTGATACAGTTTTGCTTGGATATTTGAGTCATTTAGACAACAGATAGGGCATTTTGCCAGAGCATTTGGCATCTTTCAAAGTGTGAATAATTTTTAAAGCAGCAGCATCAGGACTCATGGGGAAGGCTGGAAAAGCTCCAGCAACCCACAATGCTGTTTTATTATCAACAGCTCCCTTACAACACTGCAAATTTCCTTCTTGTATGCTGGAGGCTAGTGTATTTACACTGTTCTTTAAACTGCAACATGCAAGTGAGTCTGTTCAGATTGACATGTCAGTGGATATATACGCAAAGTGATCACAAAAACAGTGGCTATGGGGCACTACGGGGAGACATCCTTCTCTCAACTCTTAGCATACTGTCCAAATGTTAACAAACTGAACTATGAGCAACAGAAAATATCAAATGATCCTTCATTAATACAGATAGAAACACGTCGGTCTCAGATCAGCAAGTGTCCAAGCAATGTTACCTCTGATAACGTCTCAGCAATACCACTAGAGCAGCCAGAGACTGCAAACGTGAGACAAACTCCTTTCCTGCTCTTACCAGTGCTCTCTGCAAACGACAGCTGGGGTGTGCTGATGCAGGGGAAGCATGTTATCCTATTGCACCTGTATGGGGAGCGTTTTATGCAGAGGCAAAACCAGGTCTTCTATACTATGCATTTCAAAATCATCTGCAAACAGTAAGAGCTATAGCTAAATGTCACAAGGTGAGAAGACTCACATGAAGATACATTTGGATGGACTCCTATCTTTTCAGAAACAAAAGGTAAAAAGATCTCAACCACAACAAAGTGAAAAAAAAGAAGCATTTAAAAATTAAGTTCTACTCATGTAGGGTACCAGTGAGTTCCTACGTTCAGCAGAATTATTTAAACAACAACAACTCTGCTGTTTGATAAATAAACATCATACCACTGAAACTGCAAGAGTCCTCTATGAAGACATGAAGTTTTCCCTAGGGAACTTTAACTTACACTTCTGCATGAACAGAAATGAGGAGTTTTAAGACCTGTGGCTGTATCAACACCTCAACATGGTATTTGAGTGTCACAATTCAAATACGACGCTGCAGCACGGCATTTTGTCTAGTTGTACTGACTTAGGAGTGACTTGTCTTACCTAACTTGACCCATCCAAACATCTCTTCTTTAAACTCTTATCCAGCAAATGAAGTATTATGGATAGAAACAATTATTCTCTGGACATGCCTATTTCTCTCTATAAATAGTCCAAATGTTTAGCTTTTAGGCAGGTACGGTTAGGTGACGGTAATCCAGGGTTTATGTAATATTACTGCCCACATCTTTTTTAATACCAAGCAATTTTAACTGCAAAGTACTAAAGCACTACAAGAAAACTTAACAGTCCATTGAATTTTGGACATATAAAGTTAACTAGACTAGAACTGCTCGATCTCAGCTCATCTAGAAGTACATAGGGGTTTTTATCTGGAGGCATTTTGTCTGTGCCGAGTATAAGGAACAGGGCCACTTTTCTTCTGCTGCGGAAGTTTGAGAAAGGAAGAGTGATTTCATTCCGAGTTCAGACTGGCAGTAGCCAATAACAGTTTTATTAAATGGGAAATTGCATGGAATATTCCATTTTGAAGTTATGCCAATTATTCTTTGCCAGAGATGTCCGAATGTACAAACAGGGATATCAGCATTAACATCTGAAGCACACTTGCAGTTTCAGCAGAAGGCACAGTCTGTGCCCCAAAGAGCTTGCAGTCCAGTTTTCTGAATCACCACGAACAAGAGGTACAAAATGGAACTTTAGGGTGATTACCCACAGTGTTCTTCAACAACTAGGTACGGTCTCGGCGCCAAAACCATTTGCTCCAAACTGTCAGTTACTCAAAATGGATTATGCAAAGTAACTGTCAGTTTCAAACACCATTCAAAGAAAAGCCACATACAATAATCTCATTTATTAAGTGTAATTGTCAAATTCTGTTTTACATTAATTGCCACAAGAAGTGTACATGAAAGGTTCCACACAGAATTTAAATACTGCATCGCCAGATGGAAAAGGACATTTTCCTTCAGGGTAATCAAACAACAGCCTTGATGAAGGAAAACTGAATTTCATCCTGAACTAAAAAGAGGTGCTTTAATCTGAACAAGCCTTAGAGAAGCACAGGTTTAAAAGGAAACATATATATATATATATAAAAAAATAACATTTTCCATTATTGGGCAGGCTGTTTGTACAATATTCTGTATTGTTAATAAAGTAGCCTACTCTACACTTAGTAGATATAAACTTGGCTCTCTCTTATTTCTAATTCCTTCCCTCTAATCTTTGTAAGCATGTTGTCTGCCTTGGTAAGAAATAAACTGTGTAAGAAAACTGTATTTCACTTCACAGAATCACAGAATATCAGGAGTTGGAAGGGACCTCAAAAGATCATCCAGTCCAACCCCCCTGCCAGAGCAGGATCACTCAGACCAGGTCACACAGGAACGCGTCCAGGCGAGTTTTGAATGTCTCCAGAGAAGGAGACTCCACAACCTCTCTGGGCAGCCTGTTCAGTGCTCTGTCTCCCTCACAGTGAAAAAAGTTTTTCTTCAAATTCAGATTGAACCTCCTATGCTCCAGCTTGCACCCACTGCCCCTTGTTCTATCACTGGACATCAGTGAGAAGAGCCTGGCTCCTTCCTCCTGACACTCGCCCTTTACAAATTTATAAACATTAATGAGGTCACCCTTCAGTCTCTTGACTTGAATTAATGGTCGTTTCAACACAACTGGCAAATACCTCAGCAATTTGCCCCTGTGCTTACAGCGCACCTTAAGATGTGAGATGTAAAGCCATTTCTGCAACATGACATCTCCTCCACAACTCTGCAGACTAGTCAAAGGTTAATCAGATACCATCTCTGCTTGGTGGCATGGTCTAATTTAGAAGCTAAAACTGTAGCTAAAGCTAAACAGCTAAAACTGTCTTGAGACCAGTTTTTAATATTTATTTTTTAAAAAAAAAAAAACAAAAAAGCTGATGGCATGCATTAGGATGCATTAGGGAGACTCCTAAATCCTAAAGCAGCATTTTAGGTCTAAGTTTAAGGTTTAAGGAACCACACATATCCTAAATCCTTAAATATCACATACCAAGTTTAGTAGTGCATACTTGGATCTTCCAAGTACCACATTCTAACAGCAACACTAAGCTTTTAGAATCTGTACTGCAGATGCTCCATTTACACGTGTGCTCTGTAACACATTTATATACTGTGTCAGATATCCAGATAACAGAGCTAACCAAAACCTTCTTTAAATTACTTTCTAACGTGTTTTCGGTCAGTTTTAACATTAAATTGCTCTAACACACACAAAAAAATATATACATATAATGTCTTACAAAGAAATTTAATAATTAACTATGATTACACTGCATGATAATTACTAGTTGAGATAATTTTGACAATACTTGTATTTATTCATTACCTGCTTTACTTGTAAAAACCTGAAGATTCAAAGACTTAGACGCAACATCTTGGTCTTTACAGTAATCATATCCAAAATTCACAAGTCTGAGAAAATAAAGATCACTAAATAAATCACTTCTTCATTCACAGTGATTAATCATAACAGGAAGATCATGAGAACAGTCACTATGTAATCAAAATATACTAATTAAATTACAATAAAACGTTTTCTAATGCAACTTAAATTAGGCTTTAACCTATCTGCTCAGTGCTGTTAGAAATAAGAATCCCAAGACTGCATACTGTTATGAGAAACCAACAATTTTGATTACACCTGCAAACTTTGTATTCACTTACTGCAGCATCATCCAACCATTCCCATACCGCGAATCAAAAGCAAGTTCTGAAGAAGCACTGGAAATCCAAACAATCATCATACCTGAAAACTCAAACGCTTTGCAGTCTGACTCGACCATTCTTATGCCTGTAAAGCTACATTTTAATCTGCAATTAGGCACACTAATTTCAGCAGCAATACTCAAAAAGGAAAACACAATGGAATTGTCATACCATGACTTTTTTTTCAGTCTTGTGCTATCTGAGCTTTAATGGTTTAATGTATCTTCAAAATCTTTATGTCCTTATTTTTGCCATGCAGAACATGCAACAGAAGACTGTGGTCAGTCAGCTTTGGCTATTTTGTTGTTGGGGTTTGGTGGTTTGTTTTTTTTTAGTTGGTTGAGGTTTTTTCCAGAAAGGATTTTGATCCTGTAGGAATTTTGCCCTAGGTCTTCTGCAATTATTTGTTTGTTTGTTTGGGAAAAAAAAAGTAGCACTGAAGCTCTTACAGGAGTTGGATTTTTTCAGTGCTAACTGCAAGAGGAGGCACTACCCATTCAGGGCAGCCTGCACGTACAGTAGCACCACACTGAGCCTCCTGCATAGCACTGAGACCTGAGAGCCACAGCTTGATCAGGGTAGAACTCAACTACCTTCAATTACTGATAGCTGATCTAGCAGCTTTGGCATCTCTTTTTATTCACAAAGAGAAACAGGCGCTTTTGGAACATAAATTCAACTGACTGAAGATAGATGAGGATGAGATGAATTATGACAGAGTCAGAACATCCTGACTAGTTCTTTCTCAGTTAAAAGGGGGCCTTATGGAGACAAGCTCAGCTGCAGACATGTGCATGGTAGACACAGATAAAGTCAGACAAATCTTAGCCTTTGAAAGTGCAGGTTACCTGGAAATAGCATGCTGGAGGAGAAAAGAGTACAACCAATGTCTCACAGGCTATAAAAAGGAGCTACTGGTCTGGTTAACTGCCCAGTAAACCACGTAGTAGCAATTAAAAATTGAGAGCTTCCTTTAACAGGAATTTTGACATCAGCACGACAACATGCTCAAGAATAAAACAAACCAATTTAAACAGAATACTCAGAGAAAAGATGGTTTAACCTATAGCTAGCTCTTCAGACAAACAATTTTTAAAAATGGCACCAAAAAGGAGTCATGTAATATAAATTACATTTTACAGTTGACCCTGATGAAAATGAGAGGAACTGGAGGTTTGGACACAGTGTTCATATTACTCTTACATTCCAGTACCACGTAGGCAACTGCAAACAAACATACCGTGGATCAGACAAATTTTACTTAGGTTTGTAAAATATTACTCTATATATAAAGAGGAAAGCAAAATAAAACATAACAAAAACTTACTTTAATGTTGTGTCATTTACAGAAATATCCAGGTGTGATTCCAGCTGTTAACCAAAAGTGAAAAAACAACTTGTCATTTAGTGAGGTCAGTATACTAGGATTAATATTTCAGCCCAGTAAAATGTGTCAAACTCATATTTCACCAGATTCACCCTTATAACAAAGTTTAATTATCCTCCTCTAATCCTTATAGTCAACTCCAAAAAACAAAATAGATTATTTAAAAAAAAAAAAAGGAAAATAAATTGTGAGATATTTAACTTCCTATATTAGAGCAAATTTCAGCCTCTGGGACAAAAGCCTAGTAACAACTACAGGTTTAACACTTGTAATTCTTATGTTCTGTTCTCTGTACCTTGGCTGCAACAGATTTTCCTGTCTTGCTTAAAATCGACACAAAAGTAGTACGTGGCTTCTTTGTTTAGTGCATTTGATAACCCTGCTTTTCAATATTTGAGCGTAACATCAGTATAACGTCATGAATATTGTTTACTTCTAGGTCAGTATCTGTGCAATTCCACTGAAGTTACCTTACGGTGGCGCAAGCTGAATCTGACTGAATATATTCTTGAAAAGAAAATAATGGAAAAAAATGGAAAAACAAAGCTCAGTTTTCCTCTGCAAAAGTTCTAGTAATAAGAGACACCGAAACAGATCTCTGTACCAGTGCCTGTAACACAATTACATCCAACTCAAAACCATTGTATAATAAAACACTAATGACTTACTATTGAGTTAAAATTTTCATCAGGATAAAACTGGACACATTTTAAAGTACTCCTTGATTCCTGGAATTAAAAGTATGTGTTTGTAACTGGTAAAATAGAAAGCGTATCATACAGACCAAGTTACTGGACACCCCACAGCATTCTATACACTCAGCCTGCTTTGCTAACAGATATGCAGAAGTTAGCGGACAAAAGATGACTTTCAAAACCACATATAACCCCCTACAATAGCACTATGACATGCTTCCTTCCTGTCCCAGATCATTATCTGTCAATCATCTATAACTGCGTGGGCCCCCACTTGAAGCACAGCATTACATGTCACACACACACATATTCTAGGAAGTTAAAAAAACGTTTTCCATAACTAGCTATGTGAGAAAAGGAACTGTATCTTATTTTGGTCAGTTTAAAAGGCTATCTCATGCAAAACCAGAATACATTTCTCCATCACAGTTCACTTCCTTTTATTTCCTAGCACTCATATATCCTTGGTTGCTAAGAAGAGTTAAGAAAAATCAATTTTCATTTATGTAGAATATATCAAGTACAAGTAGTTCCTCAGTCAGAAGAGGAAAAAATAAATAAAAAGAGAGAGTTGCAGCAGTCAAGAACCTGTCTCTCACTCACTAAGTCTATTACAAACTTTCTAGATGTGAATTTTCTAGAACAGAGGCATTGTACTCACATCATTTTTTGGTAGGTTTAGATCCTTTTGAATAAAAGATCTTTTTAAATTAAAAACAAACAAACACACGCCTATAAAACTCAACCTTTTTATAGAAAGCACTGAGACCATCAGCCTTCTTGCAATTTACTATGCACAAATACCAGTTGAGGCAAGGCTTCTGCTTTAGGTTATTTGAGGCAAAAACAAGACAGACTATAATGAAAAACAAACTCTCACTCTTCTTAGCCACACATACTCAAAATTTTACTGTCATGAGAAAGGCAGGAACAAAAACACTGGAGTGACTTTGATCTCACCTTTGGAACAATGTAGAAAAGCCTTTGTTCCATCATATCCCATTGTGCCCAAATGAGATCATCTGCAACTCTGGATCTTGGAATTTGACCTGAGTTTTGAATCACCTAAAGGGAAAGAAAGATCATTAGAAGTTGTCAAATAAAGTTCTCTAACAATTACGCACAGTCTGTACTTAAAAAGAGCTTAAAAGCAATGACAGAAGAGGCACAAATACCAAGGTGCTTGGAGGGAATATGCTACTTATTGGCTGCACAAAATCTACCTTTGATGCGTGCGAGGTGCTCAGTTTAGAGATCAGAAGCAGAGTTTTCAGAGTACACCTACTATCAAGTATTTTCTTTGAGATTTCTTTACTTGCAAGAAATTCACCACTTAGGCTGCTCAAAGTCAACAACAACAAAAAAACCCCAAACAGACAGCACTCTTCATCATAGAGAAGGAAAGAGGAGTGAAATACTACAGTCAGCTCAGAACCAGCTACATTAACTACAGAAGGAAGATGCGTTAGCTACAAAAGGGACTTCTGTCCAAAGCCTCAGCCACATGACGAAGACTATTGGCAGCAAGGAAAGGGCTGGAAAACTGTTGCGACTGTATAAATGCATTCTTGAAAGATGTAGGGAGATTTCACATCACCCAAAACAAATTGGTTTGTTAGGAGGACATCAGATTTATCTGTTTTTCCTGGTTACGCTTTGTCTTTACTACTGCATATACTCTAACACATAAACCCCATCTGCTTTAAAAGCAATGATAAACTTTGAGAAAAACACGAAAGGCTTCAGTTTGGCTGAAAATCAGGACCTCCATCTTTTCCTTCCAAGCCTACGTATGTCTCTATAAAGCAAAACACTGGCTTTTGTGACACAATGCTTTACTAGATTAGACGCATGTTTATTAATTATTAATTATTAATTAATTAATTATTAATTAGCTGTATGTTTATGTCTTTTAAGCCAAACATCCACAGCAAATTTGTTGAAGATAAATTCATGCTAAAAACAGGAAAAAAGGAAACTGGAACATTCATGGTACTTGGAGTTTTTGTCTTTTGTTTGTTTGCTTGTTTTTCAAATATATCCTTTACTGGGACACAGACTCCCAAATGGCAAAGATAGGAAGGTAGCTCTGTAAATATTTTAAATGGTTTAAAAACGTATATACATTATGTTTACTCCCAACTTCTAACATTAAGAAGCATTCAGCAAACAAAAAAACCACCAAACAATAAAATAAGTAACTTTCCTCAGAGATTAAACTGCATACAGGGTTTTCAATCAGCTTTGTGGTTAGCTGACATAACATGTGGTAAGTTGACATACTATCAGTACTTTCTTTAATATACTTTGTGTTGCCAAAATACAAAACTACAAAACCAGTTAGCTAAAATTACAGATGTTTAAATTTTCAATTAAAGCAAAAAACCTCAAACCCCAAGAATTTTCAAGTCTTACCACTTTGCGTTCTTCTTCTGCAACAACATGAATGTCAAATTGTTCAATATCTTTAAAACATATTAAAAAAGTCATTACAACCATATATTTTTACATGCTTTTATACAGCTTATTAAACATTATTACCTCCTATAATGCTATAAGAACATATTCAGGCCAGGGAAGCTCAATCCAGTTTAAGAGGAAATCTGTGATATATGAATACAGGTGTGTAGGCAGAGACCTGGACCCTCTTCCTTTCCTGAGCCGAGGGTGGCCTCAGCCACACCACCTTGTAGAAATGGTTCTCTGTCCACGCCAGTGCAGCCTTGTCAGCAGGAGCGCTGGCCGAAACGTACCAAACCAAGCCAAGGAGTGTGCTTATAAAGAAAGAGCACACACAGCTGCTCATCTGCACCCAGCCCCGTTTCACTTCCTAGCGCGAATACCACCTCACAGTTCTTTCCCACACTATATTCCTAAAAGTTACTGGTAGTTTCACTGTGCAAAAGGTGCAAGATTGACCCAGCAGACGTTATAAATATTTCTGATAGAGTTCACACAACTATATGAATGTATTAGGAGGTTAACTCTGCCCACCTACATAAAGGTTGGTGTCTAGTTTAGCAGAGATGATGGGCCTTTCCAAAAAGTTGGAAAAAGCTGCTTCACTCTATAATAAGACTGTAAGGCAGAAGTGATAAACAGCCTTTTCCAAGCGTCCATCTCTATTCATCCCCTCCCATTAGATTAGACCAAACATGCAAAGGTAGCTGAATCCAAGAAATTACTGTCCTATTCTTATCCCACGTGTCACATGGTTAAATCACAATCCAGTTCTCAGTCAGTATCTGCTCTGAATTTATATAGGTAGCTATAAAAGGCTATTTTAGCTTTTTTAGAAATGAAGATGACTGATGAACATGAACTAAGCAAATAACTGCAGTCAAAGCTGGCCATTCTGCTAACAGTGAAAAAAAACCCCATTAAATAATACATGTTTTGAAAGACATATGGAATACCTAGACTAGATCACACTTTTTTCCCCGTTTTTTTTTCCAATAAAAGCCTACCAAAAATAAAATCTATAATGATCATATTAGAGCAAAAGAATGACAATGTACTTCCAAAATATTAACTCACATTTATCTTCTGAAACTAGCAAGAGGCGACTTTCTGTAGAAGTATTTCTGCCTTCAACAGGATAAAGAAACTATACAGGAAGTTTCACAAAAGTAAGTAAGTAACCAAAGTAGCTTAAAACACTTATCTAAAATAGGTTTTTCAGCTGGATATTTACATATTTTCAAATTAAGACAGGCACATTAATGATATTCAATTAATTAAAATAGCTATTATTACAGACTAACAGTCTCCAATCACTATAATTGCAAGCTTCGGGGGATTGAAGAGAAATAAGAAAGTAAGCCTTCATGTCAGAGAAGTATTCTAAATCCAACATTTTATGAAGTTTCTCATTTTTTTCGTTCATGAAGAAACTCAGACACACTATCATTGCAACAGTTGCAAAGACAATGCAAGGTATTTAGTAAGGCCTTTGACACTGTCTCCCAC